CTAGGTTTTATTAATTGTGTTATAGAAGCACAGAGACATAAATAAATATGCTGGGTGTGGTGGTACAGACTCAACCCCAGCACTACCTGAGATAGAGGCAGGCTAATTTCTGAGTTCCATGCCTGCATAGCCACCTAGTGTGGTGGTTCTCAGCCTTTGGATCTCAAACCATTTGCGGTTGCATATCAGGTATTTACTTTATGATTAAAGCAGGTGCCTTTAATCTCAGCCCTTGGGAGGGAGAGGCAGGCAGATCTCCGGGTTAAAAGCCAGCCTGGTTTACAGAGCAAGTTCCGGGACAGCCAGGGGTACACAGAGATACCCTGTCTTGGAAAAACCAGCCAACCAATTAACACATGACTCATAACAGAAGCAAAATTACAGTTCTGAAGCGGCAATGAAATTATTTATTTATTTATTTATTTATTTTATACGCATTGTTGTTTTTTGCCTTCATATGTGTTTGTGTGAGGGTGTCTGTAGTTGAGCTGCCATGTGGGTGCTGGGAATCAAACCCTGATCCTCTGGAAGAGCAGTCACTGTCAGTGCTCTTAACCGCTGACCCATCTCTCCAGCCCCAGCAATGAAATAATTTGATGGTTAGGGCTCACAGGAAGAACTGCATATTAAAGAGTCCCAGTAGAAGGTGGAGAACGCTGCACTGACTAGGAAGTTCAAGGTCAGCCACGGGCAACCCTGTCTGGAAGGCAGGGAGGGATAGAGGAAGGAAAGAGGAAGAAAACACCGGAAAAGAAAACAAAACGAAATTTAAAAAGAATATTCAGAGTTTTTTTTTCTTTCTTTCTTTTTTTTTTTCCCCCCCCCCCCCCGAGACGGGGTTTCTCTATGGCTTTGGAGCCTGTCCTGGAACTAGCTCTGTAGACCAGGCTGGTCTCAAACTCACAGAGATCCGCCTGCCTTGGCCTCCCTTGTGCTGGGATTAAAGGCGTGCGCCACCAGTGCCCGGCAGAGTTCTTATTTCTTATCTCTCCCCCTGGATCTTGTGAATTCCTTGGCAAGTAGGGGAAGTTCTCTTCAGTCCTTCACTGGCCAGGTTTTCTTTTCATTGGTGACTATAGAGGTCAGACAGAAGGAGGAACCATCAGCCTCCGGATGGGGGTGTTGTACTCTGACTTCTGATCTGCATAAGCCTGGAGGCTGGCTGCCCTTCCCAAGCAGATTATTAAACCTCAGTATGATCTAGAGAAAAGATGAAATGCTGGAAAGGAAAGCATATGGAAATTCAAAACTTTTTAAGATTTTAAGTGCATTGGTGTTTTGCCCGCAGGTGTGTCTGTATGAGGGTGTTGGAACTGGGACGGAACCCCTGGAACTGGAGTTATATGATCTTGAGCTAAATGTGGGTGCTGGAATTGAACAGTTCCCTCTGCTAGAGCAGTCAGGGCTCTTAACCGTTGAGTCATCTCTCCAGCCTCCACAAACAGTATTAAAGCAAATGTTAAAACATCTCTGGAGAAGAATATGATTGAGCATATGGAAATTGAAATGAAACAAAAAACAAAAACAAGAAAGCAAAACCGATGGATTAAACATACAGGAAAGACCACTTAGAAAATAAGTAACTCACAGAGCAAAGTATTTTGTAGATTTTAAATTTTGGAGACAGCAAAATAGATTTTAGTCTGTCAAAAACAATTAAGAACTCAAGTTTATAGGACGAGGTTCCCATTCGCCACCAGGAAGTCCATTGATTTGTAATTTGGCTTTGAATCTGACCTGTGGCCTGCATGTCATGATAATTTGGGTCACTTTGAATATCCCATCCCTTGCCTCTGCAGAAGTTAAATGCGTGCCTCTGCCGTGTGCCATTGACCTATTTGCATAACGATGCCAGGGACTAAATCCACAATTAATCATTTCCAGTTAGCAGTCACAATGAGGAAGGACTTGCATGCAGGAGCAGTAAAAAGCAGTGTTTCATGTGTGCCCTTCGGACATAGAGGAAATAGCTTAAGTCTCTCTCTCTCTCTCTCTCTCTTTTTTTTTTTTTTAACTTTTTCACAGACTGGGTCTCATTATGTACCTCTGGCAAGGCTAGAACTTGCTGTGCAGATGAGGCAGGCTGTCGACCTGTGATCTGCTTCATGAGGGATAGGATTACAGCAAAGTGGCCACCACATCTGGCCTCATAGCTGACAGATTAAGTAGAAGCTAAGCATCCAAAAATACATCAGGCCTGTCAGTACAGAGACAGACTCTGAGTTCGAGGCCAGCCAGGTCTACAGAGTGAGTTTCTGGACAGACTCCAAAGCTACGGAGAAAACCTGTCTCAACAATAACAACAACAACAAAAAAGTTCTGTTTGCTTGGTGAATGCCTCCCAGGCAGTTAAATCAGCTATAGCTTATTATCAGGTATGTAGGAATTGCAAGGCTAGCCTGGGCTACTTGTTAAAATTCAATAGACACATAAATAAAATCTTCCCTAAGCTGGGAGTGGCTGGTTGGTGGTGGCACACGCCTCTAATTCCAGAGCTTGGGAGGTTGAGGTTGGTGAATCTCTGAGAGTTCAAGGCCAACGTGGTCTACCGAGTTCCAGCACAGCCAGGACTACCCAGAGAAACCCTGTCTCAAAACACAAACAAGAAAATCACTTAAGGGCTTAGATTAAGAGCACAGAGGACTCTTGTTTAATTCCCAGCACCCACATGATGGCTCACAACTGTTTGTAAATCCAGTTCTAGGGGATTTGGTACCCTCACACAGACATACCTGCGGTCAGAGCACTGCATTAAAAGAATAAACTAGCCAGGTGGTGGTGGTGCACGCCTTTAATCCCTATGCTCAGGAGGCAGAGGCAGGTGGATCTCTGGGAGTTTGAGGCCAGCCTGGTCTACAAGAGCTAGTTCCAGGACAGGCTCCAAAGCTACAGAAAAACCCTGTCTGGAAAAGCAAAAAAAAAAAAAAATCCAAAAAAATCCAAAAAACAAAATCGGTTGGGAGAGTGCTTAACATGTGAGACTCCCTGAGTTTGATTCCCAGCACTGCACAAACCTGGGTGTGTTGATCCAAGTATTGGCAGTACTATCAAATGGGCAAAGTCAGTAGGTTTAAGCCAGTATGCCTATGTCTTCCTTTTTTGGAACATGGTCTCATTTGGTCTCCTGTATGCTAAACTGGCCTCACACTAGTGTAGTTGGAAATGACCTTTAACTCCCAAGCACTGTTCCTGGCCCAAGCCACTAACCAGGTATCTCTTCACCAGTTCACTCAGGTCAATGAAAAGTTATTGTTTTTTGCTGTCTGTTTTTTATATATTCTTTCTTACTCAATTTCATTCAACTAAGAGTTCTTTTCTAATCTGACTCAGTGTATAGGGCTTGCTTTTAAAAGAGTTTGGTGCACAGTGACCCCTATCTATACAACCACAATTTGGATGCTAGTGTAGGCTACACAGGGAAGCGTGTCTGGGAAAAGACAAAAAAAAAAAAATACAGAAATCTTCAGTGGTCAAGTACCTTAAGGCCTTCATTTTATTTTGCATCCAGCTTTGTGATAATTGGTAATATATTGTCGGCTGGGCAGTGGTGGCACATGTGTCTAACCCCAGCACTCGAGAGGCAGAGGCAGGCCGATCTCTGAGTTCGAGGCCAGCTTGGTCTACAGAGTAAGTTCCAAGACAACTAGGGCAGTTACACAGAGAAACCTTGTCTCGAAAAACAAAAACAAAACCAAATCAAGTAATGTATTATCTGGGTCTTTGGAAAAATGGGTTCTACAGAAGTGTGCCGAGAAAGTCATGGAAACTCTGTCAAAGAGAAACCTGAAGTCCCTTTGGTTGCTTGTTCTTGTAGGAAGTTTCTAGATCCTCTTAGGGCCCATCTCCAACCCTATAACTCTCACCTGCTGCTCCCTCTGCTGCAATCCTAACAGGTTCACGTGTTTTCATAGGTAATGCCTGCCTTGAAGGCCACTAAGAGCTTTAAACTTTAGTTGGTCGTTCACCGCCTACAAATTAAAGGACAGGCTTCACGGCCCACATTTTAAGAAGACATTAAAGGCAGGCTAAAGTGTTTCAGCTGAGAAGGGACAGGACTTGAGACTGCCTGTGCCCATTACAGGATGTCAGGCATTCAACTTGACTTGGCTTTGTCTCAGCTCCCACAAGGACTGCATTTCCCCTGGTTTGAGTTTGAAATTCGAAAGCATTTTACCTCGTGAAGCTTAAAATGACAATTAGTTAAAGATAAAGATCTATGGGTGGAGACTTAGGTTTGTTTCTTTGGTTGAGACAGGTTTCGCTTTGTAGCTATGGCTGGCCTGGTATTTATTTTGTAGCACTCTCAACAATTCTCCTGCCTCTGTCTACAGAGTTCTGAGACTGATTACAGACAGGATCAGTACCCCCAATTTACCAAGTGGCAGTGGATGACCTTGATATCCTCGTGCTTACGTCTTTCAAGTAAGATTCAAAGCGTGTGCAGCCAGACCCAACCTAACAATTTTTTTTTTAAATTTTATTTATTTTGTACTGGGTCCCTAAGTAGTCCAGGCTGATCTTGAACCCAGGCCTTGAACTCTTGAGCCTCCAGTCTCAACAGCATCTTGAATGCTGGGATTACCAGCGTGAGCCCACACGCCACGCCTGAACAGTATTTTCCAGGGCTTTAGACATGAGTGGCCAGTGACAATACTTCTCAAGAGGGCGGTCAACGCCCGCACATTTTTCTTGAACCACTCCTATTCTCGGGCACGCTCTGCTAAGGCTGGGGGCAACTTTGGCCATTTGTAAAAGAAAGAAGCAAAGGGGAGCAGGTTCCGCCCCTTTAATGAGCCTAGGGCGGGAGTGGGAGCCAGGCGGATTAGGTGAGCTTCCCCCGAGGCGCGCACCCAGCCAGCCCTAGAGAACTCATCAAGCCCTTGGGTCGAGGGGCGGGGCGCGCCTAGCGGTCACGCGCGTGGGCGGGGCGGGGGCGTGTCCGCAGGCGCGCGCGGCCGGCGAGGGGGCGTGTCCGGCGGACGGGCGGGCGGCGGCGCGGGCCGGGTGCGCGGCGCAGCGTCCTGTGCTGGAATGTGCGGCTCCCGCGAGCTCGCGGCGCAACAGCAGACCGGGCGCCGCCGAGGCCGCGGGCCCCAGACCGGGGCAGCGGGGAGCTCTGCGACGGCAGGGCGAGGGCCGGAGGTCTGATCCCGCTCCCCGATCGCCCCGCGGGTTCGCGGGCCTCGGCGCTCAACTTTTCCCCTCTCTCTCTCCCCTCCCCCGAAAGTCCAGCAACAAAGAAAAGGAGTTGAGAGCGACGGCAGCGGCGACGCGGGGGCTGCGGTCCGTGGGCGCGCAGGCGAGAGGGTAGGACGTCGCGGACTTGGGAGGGCGGCGGGCAGGCGCGGAGCGGCGCGAGGCGCTGTCCAGGGCTGATCTGCAGATACTGTGGCTCGGGCGGCGCGGCGGGCGGGCGGGGGCGGGATCGGGTTACGGAACGAGTCACGGGCTGGGCCGGGGGCTGGTGCGGAGCGGAGGTGGGGGCACCGGTCCTCAGTCGAGCTCGGGGCGGCCCTTCCGCAGGGCGCTGGGTGTCGGGGCGGCGGAGGCCGGAGCGCCGCTGCTGGTGGCCGCGGTCCTGAAACTTCCCCTCTGCCCGCCCTCCCCTTCTTCGCCCGGGGCCCACCGTTCCGGGCCCCGTCGGCGTCCCAGGCTCGCCGCCCCCTCCCCCAAGCCGGGCCAGGGCCGGAAGGCGACCGCCCCGTTTGACTCAGCCCGGGGCACGGGCGGCGCCGCCGACGGGCTGGACAGCGATTTCTGCGGCCCGCGCTGGCTCTGCGCGGTGGGGGAGCGAAGTTCGCAAACTTCCGGGCGCGGGGGCGGCGGCGGCCCGCGTGGGGCCCCTCGGAGAGACCGGGGACCGGCAGCCTCGGGAGGGCGCCTCCGAGCCCCGGCACAGGCCCGAGCCGGACGCCGGCGGCGAGGTAACTTTCCGACCCGGTCCTGCCCGGGCTCAGCGCGGGCGGCGGGGGAGGGGGCTGCGGGGCCGCGGCCGGGCGGAGAGGCGCCTCTAGGGTGGTGGGCAGCGCTCGAGGGCGAGAGCCGAGGCACCGCCCGCGGCTCGGTGGCGGAGAGGAAGCAAGAGGGCCCAAGTTTGCAAAGAGCTGCTTTGTGTTTGGTATTTTGAGAAAATGGCCGAATGCCTATTTCAGTTAGGAATGCCGCCGCCGAGGCCGGCGCTGGTGGCAGCAGCCCGTAGGAATTCCGTGCAACACGTTGCGCTCGGGCTCTGCTTGCACAGCCTTCCCGAGAAATGTGGGGATTCCTTGGAGTGTGGCAACTGGGGTTCATGAGGAGCTTTAAGTGGATGTTTGGGGGGTTCAGTTTTGGAATCTGTGGGACTGTTAAACCAGGGGAGGAGAGCTGTGGCCCACTGCTTCCTGTGATGGCATTCGACTCCAACTTTTTGTTGGGGCATGTAACTGAGAGAGCGAGCTTGTGTTTAGACGCTTGGTGAAACGGACTGCTTTTTGTATTTTCGGTTCTAAGTGTATGTTTTAGTACTTTTTGCATGTCTTGCCTTTACTACTTTGCAAGAGGACACTGCATTCCAGGCTAGCACCTTTTGAGAGTAGACGTTGAGACCATTTAAAAACTCGAACTTGTTTTCAAGAAGGTGATCTGTAATGGCTTCCTCTAGGCAAGTAGGCCAAGTCAAGCACAATGCGCCAAAGTTGCTGGTTGACGTGTTGAGTTGCACGGCTCTTAGGGGAGTTTTCAAACAGAAAAAACGCTTCAAAACTTCCCCTTTTGTGGGAAAAGGGATCCATAACCACCCCTTTAAGTTAAGAGTCATCAAAAAAAAAATTAAAAGTTGGTTGGTTTTTCAGTTTATTCTTTTAGAGTTCGTTGAGTTTTCTGGAAGAAATTAAATTCCACCCTTCCAGATTCCTTGATGTATTCATTATACGCATAGAATCGCTTGTAGATTGGAGGGGGGGGGTTCTCATTCCGACCACTGAACTGTTGAAAGGGAAAATGGGGAGAACAATAGTTTACTATTCAGGGCTTTGAAACAAAAGTTATCTTAGTTGACATTAAAAATGTTTAACCACCAGAAAAAGGTTGACACACTTGGGCATGCCAGTGGTAGACCTAATGCATGAAAGAGTTGCTTTTTTTTTTTTTTTGAGTGTAGGGAAATAGTTATTCATTTGTATGCTTTTGCGGCTGCAATAAAAGGTAATTGAAAATTACCAGCAGTCTTGCTCAGCCTTCCTAGGTAGGATTGCAGGCAGGCAGCACCATTCCCCGCAAGAGACATATCTTAAATTTGTTGATAGAAGTGAATGAAGCTCATTGAGCTGTAAAGGGTACATTGGAAAAATGCTTGCTTTAGCTAACGAGGACCGGATTTAAGTGGTATTTTTTTTTTTTTGTTACACTTTATTCAGTGTGCAGTTATGGCCACCCAGGTGATGGGGCAGTCTTCTGGAGGAGGAAGTCTGTTCAGCAGCAGCGGCAACATGGGCATGGCCTTACCTAGCGATATGTATGACTTGCATGACCTCTCCAAAGCTGAACTGGCGGCACCCCAGCTCATCATGTTAGCCAATGTGGCCTTGACTGGGGAAGTCACTGGCGGCTGCTGTGATTACCTGGTGGGTGAAGAAAGACAGATGGCAGAATTGATGCCTGTGGGGGACAACCACTTCTCAGATAGCGAAGGGGAAGGACTTGAAGAAGCGGCCGAACTCAAAGGTGACCCCAGTGGGCTGGTAAACGTAGGACTGAGAAGTTTGGAGCTCAGTGCAGTGGAGCCGCAGCCGGTGTTTGAAGCATCAGCCGCCCCAGAAATGTACAACTCAAGCAAAGACCTCCCTCCCGAAACGCTTGGGACGGAGGACAAAGGCAAGAACACGAAGGCCAAACCCTTTCGCTGCAAGCCCTGCCAGTATGAAGCTGACTCCGAAGAGCAGTTTGTCCATCACATCCGGGTTCACAGTGCGAAAAAGTTCTTTGTGGAAGAAAGTGCCGAGAAACAGGCCAAGGCCAGGGAATCTGGCTCTTCCACGGCCGAGGAGGGGGATTTCTCCAAGGGCCCCATCCGCTGTGACCGCTGTGGCTACAATACCAACCGGTATGATCACTACACGGCTCATCTAAAACACCATACCAGAGCTGGGGATAATGAGCGTGTCTACAAGTGTATCATTTGCACGTACACAACAGTAAGCGAGTATCACTGGAGGAAACACTTGAGAAACCATTTTCCAAGAAAAGTCTACACGTGTAACAAATGCAACTATTTTTCAGACAGAAAAAATAATTATGTACAACATGTTCGGACTCACACAGGTAAGAAAACTTAAATTTTATTTCACAAAATGTGTGTTTTTTTTTTAAGCTTAGATCACGTAAACCAAACACTAGTTTACAAGGGGAATTGAGGATTTAGAAAAAAAAAAAAGCCTACTGATTAAATTTGTATAGTTTGTCAAACAAAACTTTCAAACTTTATTACTCCCAGTTTTGGTTTTCTGGTTTTGTCTTTGGGAATAGACTATAGCTCTTGAAACTCATTGTTGGCCTCAAACTCTGATCCCCCCCCCCCCCCCCCCCCCCCCCCCCGCTGGAAGTAAAGGTGTTCCATGCTCCACCCTTTCTCTTTCCGGAACAGGGTCTCTGGTGGTCCATACTGGCCTTGAACTATCCTATAGCTGAGGTTGTTTAATTTCTGATCTGCAGTTGAATTGCAGACGTGTGTCACTAGGATTCTGAAGTGGGAGACGGAACACCGCGTCTTGTGCCTGCCAGGCAAGCATTCTCACTACTGAAGCTGTGTGCTTTTTCCTTTTCTCTACTTTATGTAAAGGAGTGGTTGGACTGCTTGTCTGTGAGTGCACTGCGTGTGTGCAGTACCTTCGGAAGCCAGAAGAGAGCATTGGCTTCCTGGAAACCCAGTGGAGAGTTTTGTAGATGCAGAAAAGTGAACCTTGGGTCTTCTGCGAGAAAGAACAGCCACTGAGTGCTCTTTACTGTAGAGCCAAGAGTAGAATCACTGCAAATTGAAGCCATTTTCCTAAGAGAGCAAGCAAACACACCCATGAGGATTACTTTGCAGACAGAAACAGCATTTGTTCAGAGTATCTTGATGGCCTACAGGTTGCGAGGACTTTCTGGCCCAGAAGTCAGGAATTCTTAAGGTTAGTGTAGCTCAGTAGTAGAGCACGTATGTTAGAATGCTTCATGTTGTGTCTTCAAGCATCAAAAAGAAAATTTTCAAAGTGGCTGGAGAGATGGATCAGTCTTTAAGATCGCTGCTGTCCAGCAGTTAAGAGCACTAGCTCTTCTAGAAGACCTAGTTCAGTTCCCAGGACCTACATGGCAGCTCACGACTGCAACGAAGTCCCAGGACATACATGCAAGACAACACCAATGGATATAAAATAAAAATGAATAAGAAAAAAATAGCTGGGAGGTGTTGATGCACGCCTTTAATCCCAGCACTTAGGATACAGTGGCAGATGGATCTTAGAGTTCGAGGACAGCCTGGTCGACAGAGCGAGTGACAGGATAGGGACCCTGGACTATTATACAGAGAAACCCTGTCTCAGAAGAAGAAGAAAAGCAAAAGTATTTTTAAACAAAACTAACCCCACAAAACTTTAGGGTCCAGGGTCGTGCCATGTAACCCACTTGTGGATTCGAACTAACCCAAGTTGTGGCTTCAGTCTCCCGGAACCTTCTTCAGAGTTTGAAACATGCTGTAGAGATGGCTTTGTGTACAAGAATGCTGCTGCTCTTCTGGGGGTCTGAGTTCAGTTTCCAGCCTTTATGTTGGGTGGCTTCAGGACCTGTAATTCCAGAGGGATTGGTCCTCAGTGAGCAGGAAGAAAGAAGGCATCTGAGGCTGCTTGATTGTTTGTTTTTTTTTTTTTTTTTTTTTTTTTTGACACAGGTTTTGAAGGTCTCTGAAGTACAGGCTAGCTCTGGATTCCTGAATCCATTAGCCTCCAGACTATTTGGGGGATTATAGGTGTGAGGTACTAATGGTGTCAGTTTTTCCAAAATTCGTTATTATACCGTTTGTTGTAAGTATATAGTAGTTTTCCTCTGTACAGAGTGGTGTTGCCATTACTACAGTCCTGTAAGATAGTCCAAAGAAATTAAAGCCCTCAAGGCCAGCATTTGGGAGACTGAGGCAGGAGGATCTCCTAAATTCAAGGACAGTTTAGACTACTTAGACCACAGCTTAGTGAGTTCTAAGAATTTCAGATTTTATCTTTTTCTGATACAGCTCACACAGGAGTGCTTACAAACCTTGCACAAGGCCCAAGGTTTGACTCTTAACACCTACCCCCACCCCTAATAAATAAAAACAAATACAAGGACTGGCCAAAAAAAAAACAAAAAAAACCCAGAAAATGCTTACCTCACCTTTAGTGACTACAGTGAGCTCAGGAGCTCAAGGTTCTTCTTTGCTGTTAGAGGCAGCCCTGGGCTTGTCTTCAAAATTGCTTATCAATGTAGTCTCTTCCTGTTTTCCCTCAGTCCCAGTTATCTGCCACCACAGTCTGCTGGGAAATGCTTATATGGAGATTCCTTTTTTTGTTAGGCAATTGTGTGTACGACCTTGGCTGGCCTCAAATCACCAGGTATGTCTAGCTGACCCCAAAACTCCAAACCAATCTTTGCTCTTGTATTCTCAGTGAGTAGATCGCAGGCCTGTACCACCCTGCTCAAACTTGTTTTGTGAGACTCCTTTTGGGTTCCTTCAGGAGTAGCTTTGTGGCCCTGCCTTGAATTCTGGCAGTCCCGCTCCGGATGAAAGGTGTAAGCCACAAAACTCTGGCCAGCCTTGAATTCATCCTACCTCAGCCTTCTGATGAGCACGTCGACGGGGTGGAGCACGTCGACGGGGTGGATCTATTAGATTTACCTGACTTACATCTTGATGGAACATTTGTTAGGGCCTAGAGCATAATCAGTATTTTTCAGAGTTGATTAATTTTATGAGGATCAACCAATACCGAGAATGCCACTCTGCATATGTATACATAGGACAAAATGGCAGGGATGTCCTTAGCTATTTCGGAAATTGTGCTTGGGTCCCAAGCTGAAAATTCATTTAATGAAAAATTTTCTTTCTTTTTTTTTTTTTTTTTGGTTTTTCGAGACAGGGTTTCTCTGTGGCTTTGGAGCCTGTCCTGGAACTAGCTCTTGTAGACCAGGCTAGTCTCGAACTCACAGAGATCCGCCTGCCTTTGCCTGGGATTAAAGGCGTGCGCCACCACCACCTGGCATGAAAAATTTTCTGAAACTCAAGTTTATTGCTGCAAGTGGTGGTGCACACCTTGAATCTCAGCTGGATCCAGGACAGTTAGGACACAAATCCTGCCTGGGAGGGGGTGGGAGCCGGCAACAGGGCGAAACAAAACTAATCCTCTAGTCTACAATTCTTTTTTTTTTTTTTAAATTATTTATTATGTATACAGCATTCTGTCTGCATGTATCTCTGCAGGCCAGAAGAGGACACCAGATCTCACCACAGATGGTTGTGAGCCACCATGTGATTGCCGGGAATCGAACTCAGGACCTTTGGAAGAGCAGACAGTGCTCTCAACCTCTGAGCCATCTCTCCAGCCCCTAGTCTACAATTCTTTTTTTTTTGGTTTTTTTCGAGACAGGGTTTCTCTGTGGTTTTGGAGCCTGTCCTGGAACTAGCTCTTGTAGACCAGGCTGGTCTCAACTCACAGAGATCCGCCTGCCTCTGCCTCCCGAGTGCTGGGATTAAAGGCGTGCGCCACCACCGCCCGGCTAGTCTACAATTCTTAAGAGCAAACACTAATCCAGTCCGTGCTAAACATAATAGTAATTTGAGGCATATATGCAGTTGGAAAATAGGTTTGTGTTTTTTTTTTTTTATTATTATGTATACAATATTCTGTCTGTGTGCATGTCTGCAGGCCAGAAGAGGGCACCAGACCTCTTTACAGATGGTTGTGAGCCACCATGTGGTTGCCGGGAATTGAACTCAGGACCTTTGGAAGAGCAGGCAGCGCTCTTAACCGCTGAGCCATCTCTCCAGCCCTAGGTTTGTGTTTTGTAATGGCACCATTGTGTTTCCAGTAAGTCTAGAGACAGTTCCTAGCACTGTCTGAAATGGAGCCAGGGATTGAGGCAGGTTTATCGAAAGTTCCTATGCACACACGAACACCAAGGTGCTTTGTGCTTTGAGGACCTGGGGCTAGAGAGGGCCAAGACACCTTAGATTGCATGTCAGTTGTAGTTCAGCCTGTCCTGGAGCTATTTAAATTAGTTTGGTCTGGAATTCACAGAGATTTTCCTGCTTCTGCCTTCCAGTGCTAAGATCAAAGGCTTGCATCACACATGACTCAGATTTTTAATTTTATTTCAGAAACCTTAATGTTGCCAGTTTTTGAAGCCTATTGTTTATGAAGTGAGAGCTTCTTGGATCTCACTGCAAGTGTGTGTATGTATATATACATATATGTGTGTATATATACACATTAATATATAATTTATATGTAATTACATGTAAGCATTAATATAATTATATATTAAGCTAGTTCTAGGTTAGCCAGGGCTACATAGTGAGACCTGGTCTCAAACAAAATTGGTACAGAGCAGGGCTGGAGAGATGATGGCTCAGCAGTTAAGAGCATGGCCTGCTCTTCCAAAGGTCCTGAGTTCAATTCCCAGCAACCACATGGTGGCTCACAACCATCTGTAATGAGGTCTGGTGCCCTCTTCTGGCCTGCAGGCATACACACAGACAGAATATTGTATTCATAATAAATGTTTAAAAAAATGGTACAGAGCATACATTCAGGTCATGAGTGTTTTGTTGAATAACTACGGTTCATTTTGATAAATTGCTGTTGGTTTATACTGATAGACCATGGAAGACAACATGAGCTGTTGGTTTATACTGATAGACCATGGAAGACAGCATGAGCGCCCCAGAACTTTGACTTAGTAATTGTACTTAACACCCAACTGTTCTTTTACATTTAGAGCTGGTAGGTTGTAGTCAGACTTTGACTTAGTAATTGTACTTATCACCCAGCTGTTCTTACGCCTTTAGAGCTGGTAGGTTGCCTCTTTAATCTACTGGAAGCTAAGGGGGGGGGGGGGGGACCATTGTTTCAAAGTCAGCCTGGGTTGCACAGTAAAGCCCCGTCTTAGAACCATAAAACCAAGAAAATTGCTAAAAAGTTAAGGTTTTTTTCTTTTTCTTTTTTTTTGGGGGGTGGAGCTTTTTGAGACAGCGGTTCCCACAACTAGCTCTTGGAGACCAGGCTGTCCTTGAACTCACAGAGACCCACCTGCTCTGCTTCCCAGGTGCTGGGATTAAAGACTTGTGCCACCACCACCCAGCTTTATTTTTATTTATTTATTTTTTTTTCGGTTTCTTGAGACAGGGATTCTCTGCTTTGGAGTCTGTGCTGGAACTTGCTCTGTAGACCGTGCTGGGATTAAAGGTGTGTGCCACCACAGGTTGGCGAGCTAAAGTTTTTTTTTTCTTTTTATTTTTCTCTATTTTTTGAGTTAAAGTATTTTCAACAATAAATTTCACTTTGTTAGCTGAGTGTGGTGATATACACCTTTAATCTTAACAATTGGGAGGCAGAGGCAGGCGGATCTCTGAGCAATTTCCAGGTCAGCCAGGGCTATGCAGAGAAACCCTCTCTCAAAACCACACAATAAATGAATAAATGAAAAAAATAATAGTTTATTTTTGTGTTTTCGAGGCAGGATTTTTGTGTGTGCCAGGACCCGCGAGCACAGGGCCTTTCTTCGGAAGAGCTCCTTTTCACTGCTGAGCTGTCTCTCCGGTCCCCCACTGTTTGTTTTGGGGGGTAGCATCTTGCTGTATACTCTGGCTGAAGTTGAGTTCCAGAGTTTCTACTTTAGCTCTTAGGCACTGAGTGTTGTAAGCACATGGTAGTCATATCCATTTTAATGATTGTTTTACGTTTAGGACTGTGTTATCCATTGAACCATTGAACTTTGAACCTTTGCTTTTAGCTTTTTTCCTTTTTTGGGGGGGTGGGAGTGGGGGCTTGAGGGACAGGTCTCCTACAGAGCCCTGGAACTCACAAATCCTGCCTGCCTCTACTCCCTGAGAGCTAGGATCACCACACCCAGCTCTTTGCTGGAGATGACCCCAGCTTTCCATGTCCTGAACATACTCCCTACCTTTGAGCTATGGCCCGACCTTTTTTTTTTCCATTTTCTAAGTGTGACAATGTAGCGTTTTGATCGTCTAGCTATTTGGATGTTGAGTTTCTGCACTTCAGACATTGCTGCCTTGTCAGATCTTTCATTCTATCCTTCAGTCTTAGGAAGTGAACTCAGGTTGACATGTTTGGCAAGGCAACTGCATTTGCCTGCTGAGTAGCCTTGACAGTCCTGAGCTGGGCTGCTAATGCAGGCCTGTTTTGTTTTGTTTTGGAGGAGACTGAGGCAGGATCACAAGTTCAAGGCCTGTGTTGGCCACACTATGAATTAAAGGCCACCCAGGGCAATTAACTAAGACCTTGCCTCCCAATTAGAATCTTTTGTTAGTGCTGTGTCACCAGCACCTACATAGATAGCTTCAGCTATCCTCAGTTTGTACCAACTCATACAGAACACCTATGGACTAATATATATATATTAAAATTCTGTCTTTGCCTTGATGTTGTGTAGCCTAAGCGATCTTCCAACTCTTGATCCTTTTGCTTCCCTCCAAGCACAGGGATTATAAGCATGTGCCACCCTTGGCTAGAGTTGCTGCATTAGGCTAGTGGTCACATGGTTGAGTCTTCATTGACTCTTTCCCTTGTGTTAGGACTTGAACTCAGAGCTTTACATAAACTCTTAGGTTCTACCATTGAGCTGTATTACTTTGAGGTCAGTTCACACCATCTGTAAGGGCATCATGTGCACTGGGTGTGCATATGTGAACACAATTAAATGTAATAAACATGAGAAAAAAGCAGTAGCATCAGGAAATTCTTTTTGTTCATTTCATGGTACTCAGGGCTTCAAAAATTTGGACTGCATGCAACCTCAGCCAAGATTTGTGATTTGGAGACAATCTTAAAATGTAGTTCTGGTTTCTTTGGATTTAGGTGGCTACTGGTGGGGACTTGAACTAAATTTGACATTACATTAGACACAAACCCCTAGGATTTTGTTTGGGGGAAATACCCCCACCCCAACCTCTCCAGACAGAGTTTCCCTGTGTAACAGCTCTGACTGTCTTGGAACTCAAAGATCTGCTTGCCTCTGCCTCCCAAGTGCTGGTATCGAAGGTGTGCGTCAATAGTGTTCAGTCAAGGGAAAAAAAATCTTCAAAGTTAACTCCTTGAAATGCAGTGTGTGTGCGCGCGCTCGCATCACCATCCCTGGAATTCTGGGTGTTAAATGGGAGCCACTGAAGGTAGGCTTTTTTTAGTTCAAGGAAAAAAAATTTGGATGCCTCTTAAACAGCATTTTGGTTGATTTTTTTTTTTTTTTTTTTTTAACACTGAGAATTTTGTTTACCTTGAAAAATGTTTTTATATGCCACATGCATGTCTGCGTGAGGTCAGAAGAGGGCCCTAGCCTGGAACTGAAGTCATGGATGGTTTAGCTACCCCATGGATACTAGGGACTGAACTGGAATTCCCTGCAGGAGCACCAGTTGCTCTTAATTGAGCTATCTCACTGGAGCTGCTGTTCATTTTTGACTCTCCTATAGGTCATGCTGCTCAAGAACTCTTAGCTGTCAGTGTATCTAGCCCCTCCCACTTCTCCCCTACAAGCGCTATAGGTTCTCTGTACTACTGTGCAGATCCAACTTACCCAACTGGAGTAAAGGTCTGATTCTGCCACTAGTGGGAGACGAGGACTTTTGTTGTAAAATACTGAGCTATGATTATGATGGCTTACATCTTACAGTCCCAGCTCATGGGAGGTTAAAGGAGAAGTTCAGGGTCATTCATTCTAGCCTGGGCTATGTAAGACCCTGCCTCAAACTAATTTTCTGGACAACACAACACAATTTAAAGATACAGTGAAAGTGTATGGTCAGAAGTTTGGCAGATACCCGGTATTGAGAGACTGAGTTAGAAAGATCACAAATTCATGCTTTTAGACCCTGTCTCAAAATAAATAAAAATGGAAAATGGCTGGAGGTATTTTTTTCTTGGAATGGTTGTATAAATCTGTACTCAGGCAGAGGCAGGAGGATTGAGTGTTGGCTAGCCTGGACTATCTAGGAAAACAACCTGTTTCAAATTCCAAAATAAAACCTAGCCAGACCAACCCCAAAACACCCAAAAACATATGGGAGGGAATAGTTAGACTGCTGAGAATTGTTTTTGCTCGACTGTTAAATCTTAAACATTATCGTTATAATTTTGCAGGAGAACGCCCATATAAATGTGAACTTTGTCCTTACTCGAGTTCTCAGAAGACACATCTAACTCGACACATGCGTACTCATTCAGGTTGGTACGAAATGATAGCTTCAATTTCAGTAAGCTATCTTTGTATTTATTTTACTGTTTCAAACTTCTTTATTAAAAGCATTACTTTTAGACCTGTAACTGAATTGCTTATAACTTAATGTTTTTGAGGATCTTTAAAAAAGTTTGTTTTTTCTTAGATATAGTCTTATAGTGTAGCTGCTGCTGGCCTGGAACTCAGAGATTCAGCTGCCTCTGCCTCAGAAGTGTGAGGATTAAGTGTGTGTCGTCATGCCAGGCAGGGCTCTGCCTAAAAAAAAAACAAAACCAAAATGAAGTGGGGAGGATAAATCTGTGTTCTCATAAATCAGGCAAAGGTTTTCTGGGAAGGTTTCCTTTTTTTTTTCTTCTGAAGTTTTATTTTGAGACAGGGTTTCTCTAGCTTTGGAGCCTGTCGTGGAACTAGCTCTTGTAGACCAGGCTGGCCTTGAACTCATGGAGATCCTCCTGCCTCTGCCTCCTAAGTGCTGGGCTTCTGGAACTGAGTTACAGATGGTTAGGAGCTAACTACATGTGGGTGCTGGGAACTAAACATGGGTCTTCTACAAGGGCATAAATTACTCTTAACTGCTGAGCCATCTCTCTAGCTCTTTGTAGTTTTTAGAACTCAGAAGAGTGCTAATATTTCAATAAAAGAGCTAGGCATGGGGGCACATGCTGTAATCTGCACTGAGGCAGGAGGTTAACCCCAGTAATAAAAAGGCAGTACATTTTGATATAACCCTAGTTAATTTTTGTCATACAATTTATTTGATCATGTTTTCCCTTTCCCAGCGCCGCAGATCATCTCCACATCCCCTCCCACTCATCTTTATGGTCTTTATCTGATTTAACCTAATCTTATTACTTTTATTAGTATGTATTTGTGATTGTATGGGATGCACTCAGGCTGGAAGTGGGTACTGGATCCCTTGCTGCTGGAGTATACTGGTGTTCATGAGTTATCTGATACCGGTGCTAGGATCTAAACTCTGATAGAGCCTTCAGCCCAGATTTTACCTGTGCTCTACCTTTGTAATTGTGTCTTAGAAAACTTAACATTTCTCAGTTATCTCCTGTATAAACTTGGTTGTATTATAGAGTCTGACTTGATTTGGCCCTTGTATATTTAAAATGCTGGCATCTGCTAAGCTTTCACTGCTTGACTGAGCTTCATTTCCAGGCTCCTCTTAGTATCTTTTCAGACTTCCTCCTACATTGGCTGGCCTGGAGCTTGCTCACTGTGCTCATGTGGGTCAGGCTAGTCTAGTTCTTGCTCTGCCTCCCAAAAAGCTAGGACTAAAAGCCTGCTCTACCACACCTGACCTTGCCAGCCTTGCTTTTTCTTTTTTTCTCGTGACAGGGTTTCTCTAGTTCTGGAGCCTGTCCTGGAACTAGCTATTGTAGACCAGGCTGGTCTCGAACTCACAAAGATCCGCCTGCCTTCAGCCTCCCGAGTGCTGGGATTAAAGGCGTGCGCCATGGCCACCCGGCGGTTGCCAGGCTTTCTTGATCCTACATGCTTGCTATGTACTCAGATATCTTCCCAAGCTATTAAATTGGCTACATAAAGATGTACTGGTGGCTCACGCCTTTAATCCACCCTGCACTCAGGAGTCAGAGGCAAATGGATTTCAGAGTTTGAGGCCATTCTGGTCTGCAGAATGAATTCCAGGACAGCCAGGGGTTACCGCTTTTGGGTACTTCCTGATTCATTCTCCAAGGGCAATTAAAAGGGTCTTGGGTTTGGTGATATGAGGATTAATATTCTATAGAGAGCTTTACTTAGTTCTTTAATCCATTCCAGCCCTTGGGAGACAGGCTGTTGGAACTCTTCTAGACCAGTCTGGTCTACATAGACCCTGTCTCAAAAAGCAATAACAACATGTAGAATGGAGGAGGATGTAGCTCAGTGTAGTGTGGTTTCACAACATTGTACAAGACCTGGATCAATCCCTAGCACTGGACAAGGAAAAAAAAAAGAGCATTGTGTTAATTCTGTCTTTTAATTGCAATATGTAAGTTCTAGACATTGAAAACATAGTTATTTTCCTCTGCAGTGGGTCTCCCTTTCTGGATGTCCACTGGCTTTCATGTCAAGTCAGTTTTTTTTTCCTGGTCAACTGGAAATTAAATCTTAAATGCTTGACATTTATCCTGTGAGACAGTTTATTTGAAGTCACCTGTGGCTAACCCGTTACTTACGGTGATGCAGCTCTGGTTTAGAAGGATTCATATATAAGAAATATATATATGAATATATTTATATAAATATTTTCTTCTTGATTGGGCAGTGCTCAATGTTCTCTGTGGTGTCTTACTCTAGTTGATAATCTTTGCCTTTTCTTTGGGTTTGTTAATACTGTCTGGAGTTTTCTGCTGTGTTTAAAAGATATAGTTATCAGCAATTGTTATACTGTGCTAAGTAAGTATTGTTAATACCTATTGATATTGATATGCATACAGGGTACTGAAAATTACAGTCTTAATGCAAATATGCCAGTCTTTATTTATAGATGAGGACACGTGCCTAGGCAGGACAGAAAAGGACAAGTGTCTCTGAAAATAAGAAGTTAGAATTCAATTCCCAACTGTCCCAATTTAAATAAAATTATAGTTGCTGGGGCTATGGTGCAGAGAGAGCTCTACCGCTTGGTCAGAAGTGTGTGTCTGGGTTCTTCCTAAAGCAGCATAGAATACATATTTATAATCCCACTGCTGGGAAGTAGAAGCAGGAACATTAGAAGTTCAAGGCCTTTTTCAGCTGCATATTTAGCCTGAGGCCTGACTGGGTTTTATATAATAGCTTTTTTCAAAATAAAGGGCGTGGGGGTTTAGGTGGCTCAGTTAAAAGTGATGTTCCGGGAGTCTGATCCTGTAGAATGTATGTACCACCACACTCAACACACATGTCTATATAGCACTCATACAACAATACAGCTTTTCTTTTAAAGTATATTCCCTTTTCCTCTGTTGAGACGGGTTTTTTTGTGTAGCTCTGGCAGTCCTGAAACTTGCTCTGTAGACCAGACTGGCCTCAAACTCAGAGATCCTCTTGCCTCTGCCTCACAGTGCTGGGATAAAAGGTGTGCACCACCACACCCCAGCTTGTTTTTTATGAATGTGAATTGGAAAAATAGATTTTATTGGAAGAATATATTTTATGGCACTTTGGGAGCTTATGTAGGTAGCTTTTTATGCTTTTCTGGATAGAAAGGTTTTTGAAGGCCCCGTGTTGGATGCTATCTGTTTTAAGCTTTTCTACCCTAATACAGGGTGGGGGAGGGGAGAAAGCATGGGATAGAGGACAACCAGAACAGTTACTGGCTTTCATACTTGAGACATCAAGTCATTATTTCCTGAGTAAAGGATTTGATGTCTTGGACAGTAATATGCAGTGAACACACCCTAGACCAAGTATGCTATAGACAGTCACTCCCCGTGTCAAACCTATTTTAAATGAAGGACCAGGAGTATGCTTGAATTCTCTGACCTTTGGTCAGGGTGGAGCGAATCCACCTCTGCATCGTCTTAATGTCCAAAACACCAAGTAACCACGTTGTAGGTCAGAGTGTGTAGAGACACCTGTTGCCAACAACGTTGAGAGCAAAAATAAGCTCAAACTCTCTGATGTCCAGTTAAGGTGGAACAGACTCACAACTCTGGGCCCTCACAAGAGTGAGACTTCTATATATTTTCCTTTCATTCAAGTCCCACCCCTCCTTTTAATCTAAATCTATTTGTGTCTATATAGTGAGATCAAGACCAACCTGAGATATATGAGACCCCATCTCAGCCTCTCAGAGATGGCTCAGCTAGTAAAGGCACCTGCTACAGAACCTGATGGCCTGGATGGGAATTGAACTTTTTTTCAATTACAGTTTATTTGTTTGTGCATGTCTGTGGGGTACATATGCTATATCAGTCATGCATGTGAAGGTCAGAGGACAGCTTAGAGGACTTGGCTCTTTCACCATGTGGATCCTGAGGATCTTCCTCAGTCTTAACTCCCTTTTATCCATTCTTCAAGTTCCCTCCTTCACTCCAACCCCTTCCTCAGCCAATAGACAATTAGGATTTCTTTAAGCGTAGGTAGGAAGTTATTACTTGAATAAGGGCAGCTTAACTTGTTAGCTGTACTGCTGAGAGGTTATGACTTCATCCCTAGCAACTCATTAACTGCCTCTTAACTACTCAGGAAAGAGTGGGGCCTTCTGTGCTCCTCCTCCATTTGTCTGGAATGTTGATGACTGCTATCTTAGACGTACGGGTAGTCACAAATGACTTCATGAATATAATGTCCTGCTGTACATCCTCTATTCTCTGTCTTTTCCCCTTCTGTGATATTCCCCGAGCTTTGGATAGGATAACATAGATGTCTTATTTAGGGCCAAGCATTCCACTATCACACTTTGGCCTGCTACAATGAAAGTTTAGGAAGCAATTTGATGACATGATTGTTGAAAACTGTAGTAGCAAGTTCACACCTAGGGTCAATGACCTCCCTAGAAACTGCTCTTGTTCAGTACCAATTTTTTTTAAATATTTATTTATTATGTATACAATATTCTGTCTGTGTGCATGTCTGCAGGCCAGAAGAGGGCACCAGACCTCTTTACAGATGATTGATTGTGAGCCACCATGTGGTTGCCAGGAATTGAACTCAGGACCTTTGGAAGAACAGGCAATGCTCTTAACCACTGAGCTCCAGCCCTCAGTACCAATTTTTGTTGTATTTTGAAACCTCGTTTCTTTGTGTAGTCCTGGCCATCCTGGAACTACAGTACCAATTTTGAAGATGACAGTTAATAAATTAGTAACTTAATTATTTATTTAATAAATTGTGTATGTCGACATACATTCAATGCTTGAGTGTGGAGATCACACAAGGACAGCTTGTGAGTTTCTTCTGCTTTCTATGTGGAACTTTTTACTAAACTTTTACTAAACGTTTACTAGAAGTTTTGGTAAGAAATCTTAACCAAGGGGCCATTTGCTGTCTCTCTTAAGAACTGTTATTCAACAGAGTTGGGATTATAGATGTGTGTCACCATGGCAGGTTTTATGTGGAATTGAATCTAGGAGTTTGTGTTTTGTTTGGGGACAGGGTCTCACGGAGCTCAGACTGGCCTCTCTTTTATGTAGGTGCAGGTCACCTTGAAGATGGTTTTTCAGAGTAGTACTAGCAGTGACACTGCAGGACCAAGTGGAGATAGATGTGTGTGTGTTGTAGAAAGAAGCACAGTGACACCCAGGGCCCTGTGCTTGCCAGGCAGGTTGATAGACTCTGCTAAAATGCCCTTATTGACGTCAGATACAGTGGTCCTCCTGCCTCAGCCTCTGGAGTGGCAGCAATTACAGGTATCGCTCCCATGCCTGACTGAAATGCTTGGATTTTTTTTTTTTTTTTTTTCGAGACAGGGTTTCTCTGTGGCTTTGGAGCCTGTCCTGGAACTAGCTCTGTAGACCAGGCTGGTCTCGAACTCACAGAGATCCGCCTGCCTCTGCCTCCCGAGTGCTAGGATTACAGGCGTGCGCCACCACCGCCCGGCCCAATGCTTGGATTTTAACATGGAAAGAGTTGCCATTTATCTACAAACCTAATTTGATATACCTGGGCAGATGTTTTTGGGGAGATTAAGGATTCTGTCAACAGATATTTCTAAAGTTGTAATCTTTAATATTGTCATAGTTAAGCTTCATGTTTAATTTTGCTTGTGGTAAACTTGGATAATAATGCATGAGAATGTTTAAAAGATTAATTTTCATAAATGTCAATTTCCATTTCTCTACTATGCATTCCATTGGACCGGTGGGGTATGGATACCAATTGGTAATATTTACTAGAGTGTGATCTAGTTGGGTATGTATTCAGTTAGAATGTTTTTTTGCTTTTTTGGGCGGGTGGGCTTTGTGATTATGATTGTTTACATACTGTATTTATTTGTATGCCAGTCCTCATTTAGTTAGTTTCTTTGCCCCTTTTATAGAGAAATTAAGAGAAAAAAAATCACTAAGTTTTTTAGTTGACTTTAGCCTTATTTTTGCTTTAAAACAGTTACTAGGTCTTAGAGGAACTTGCTCACCTCTTGTTATGAGTAAAGGGTTAAATTTACTCCCTCAGGGTCAGGAGAGCCTTAAAAATGAGGCATATAGTCTGGAACTATAGCTCAAAGTTAAAGACTCCTCTCCAGATTGACTTTACAAATATATTTTATATTATGTTATATTTTAGTTTTAAAGAATTATGGAGGATGAGGAGCAGAAAATTAAAAACTTTTCTCTTGGAGTAGCTTTGTCCCAGAGCTGGCATCCAGAGCAGGTCTTTGCTTCTGGGTGGAGCCTGTTCTTTAATAGTGCCAGATAGCTAACTTCATAAACTGTTTTGAACATAATGGTTGACTGGGTTGATTATTCCTTCAATTTATTTTGAGAATGAAGCCTCCATCCCAGATAGAGAAAAGTTACACAAATAAATACGGAAAATATAAGGTGCATGGTCATGTCTTTCCAATAGATGGCCTGGTGATTTTACATGTACAACTCCTAAGGATATTTTAATGCTGGATTTGTGTCTTCTCTCTGTGGTAACATCTCATTTTTACCTTTAGGTGAGAAGCCATTTAAATGTGATCAGTGCAGTTATGTGGCTTCAAATCAGCACGAAGTGACCCGACATGCAAGACAGGTTCACAACGGGCCGAAACCTCTTAACTGTCCTCACTGTGACTATAAAACGGCAGACAGAAGCAACTTCAAAAAGCATGTGGAGCTGCATGTCAACCCACGGCAGTTCAACTGCCCCGTGTGTGACTATGCAGCTTCCAAGAAGTGTAATCTACAGTATCATTTCAAATCTAAGCATCCTACCTGTCCTAGTAAAACCATGGATGTCTCAAGAGTGAAACTGAAGAAAACCAAAAAGAAGGAGGCTGACTTGCATAATAACAACATCACCAATGAAAAAACAGAGATAGAGCAAACAAAAACAAAGGGGGATATGTCTGGAAAGAAAAACGAGAAACCTGTAAAAGTAGAGAAAAAAGAGAAGAAATCTTGTGGCAATGTTGCAGTGGTCCAGGTAACTACCAGAACTAGGAAATCCGCCACAGAGACGAAAGCAGCGGAGATGAAACACATAGATGTAACTACAGGTAATAGTTCAGACAAACTCAGTAAAGCCAAGAAAAACAAAAGAAAGATGGATGCTGAAGCCCATTTCCCAGATGATCCTGTGAATGAGGAACCAGTGCCGAAAAAGAAACAGAAGACAGAGAGCAAATCCAAAAACAGATCTGAAGTGCCAAAAGGGGACAGCAAAGTGGAGGAGGGAAAGGGGGACAATAAAAAGCATAATGTTCCCATTAAGAAAGGTACAAAGAAGAAAACTGTAAAAAGTAAACCAAGTAAGAAGGGCAGCAGACCTGCTCAGGAGACTCAGAAGGAGACAGCTCAGACAGAGCCTCCCTCCGTAGAGCTGACTCACGGGGAGGTCTCTCCAGTTCCTGCTCAGGTTGTGGTCACTGTGACAGGGTCTACTCAGACAGGGCTTCCTTCTCCCATGGATATCGCTCACACAGGGCCTGTTCAGATGGAGGTTTCCCAGACAGGGGTTCCTCAGGTGGAGCTGCCCCCTTCAGTGGCGCCTGCTCAGGTGGAACTGCCATCTCCCATGGAGACTGCTCAGAGGGAGCTGCTCCCTCCAATGGAGCCTGCTCAGAGTGAGCTGCCATCTCCCGTGGAGCCTGCTCAGAGTGAGCTGCCATCTCCCGTGGAGCCTGCTCAGTGTGAGCTGCCATCTCCCGTGGAGCCTGCTCAGTGTGAGCTGCCATCTCCCGTGGAGCCTGCTCAGTGTGAGCTGCCATCTCCCGTGGAGCCTGCTCAGTGTGAGCTGCCATCTCCCGTGGAGCCTGCTCAGAGTGAGCTGCCATCTCCCGTGGAGCCTGCTCAGAGTGAGTTGCCATCTCCCGTGGAGCCTGCTCAGAGTGAGCTGCCATCTCCCGTGGAGCCTGCTCAGAGTGAGCTGCCATCCCCTGTGAAGCCTGCTCAGAGTGAGCTGCCATCTCCAATGGAGCAGTCATCTTTGCTGGAGCCACCTCAGGTGGGACATTGTCAGAAAGAGTTGCCTTCTCTTTTGAACTATGCTCAAATGGAGGTTGTGCAGACAGGGCCCACTCACATGGGATCTGTTCAGGAGGAGCTTCCTGCTGTCATGGAACCACCTCTTCAAGTCAAGCCCATTACTAAAAGGTCATCTCCCCGAAAAGATAAGACGAAGGAGAAGTTGAGCATACGGCGTGAGATGCTGCGGCAGGAACAAGTCCTTATTGAAGTTGGCTTAGTGCCTGTTAGAGAGAGCCAGCTTCTAAAGGAAAGCAAGAGTGCACAGGGTCGCCCAGGCCTGTCTTCATCACTGCCAAAGGGAAACTCAAGAAGAGAAGAGGCACCCAAGGACCAAAACATCTCTGAGGGGGAAGGAATCGCCCCTCTCAAAGTAGGGACTGAGGAAGCCTGCGAGAGCCAAACTGAACTTGTTGCTCCAAAGGACTCTACCAGTGTGTTATCCTCTGAGCAAAATTCAAAAGTGCCAGATGGTGAAACACTACATGCTAAGTGTCAGACAGGTTCAGTTGGGGCTTGTGAAATTGAAGTGGGCACTGAGCAGAACACAGCAGACAACGTCCCTGTGAAGGGCTCAGCAGTCGGGCCAGGGTCACCAGTGCCTCGTCTCCCGTCAGCAGAACGTGAAGTGGCATCCGCAGCTGTAGTGGCCTCACCTCCTATCACTTTGGCTGAAAACGAGTCTCAGGAAATTGATGAAGATGAAGGCATCCATAGCCACGATGGTAGCGACCTGAGTGACAACATGTCAGAAGGCAGTGATGATTCCGGGCTGCATGGAGCTCGGCCAGGGCCACAAGAAGCTGCTTCAAAAAACGGAGAGGAAGGGTTGGCAGTTAAAGTAACTGAGGGAGATTTTGTTTGTATTTTCTGTGATCGTTCTTTTAGAAAGGAAAAAGATTACAGCAAACACCTCAATCGCCATTTGGTTAATGTGTACTTCCTTAAGAAGGCAGCTGAGGGGCAGGAGTAGACCGGAAGTGCAGTTCTTGGTGTAAACACGTCTCTGCTTCTAGTTTAAGGCAGGAGGCAAATGCAAGCTTGCTTTAAGTAGTGCCCAGTGCTGATTTTGAAGCGACATTCTTTTTCTTAGGACTGTGTCTTATCTATTGACTGTTGCATAAATCTTAGCAAAGCCTAGGAGGTTAATGTAAGGAAACAGACACTTAAATCTGTTAGCGTGTGCAGTCGAGTGGAAAGAGGAAGGCAAGATGGCAGAACATTGCTTCTTGCCTTGTTCACCTGCAGCCTGTCAGTTTTTTATGTCTTTTTCACTTTAGTTTCTATTTTTAGTTCCTTGTTCAGATTGATAAAAATTGGCGTAGCAAATTACTTGAATTTGCCTGCTTTATATAAATAAAGTTAGCACTTTAAAGTTTCTTTAGATCACAAAAAAGACATTTAAATTGAAGAAAAATTCTTTGAACAGTGGACATTGTATCTGTCCAGGTAACTGCTTCCTGACTTAATGGTCAATATGTTGTGTTTGTATGTTAATCATTATAAAAAGTGATTTTTGGTGTTTTTTATTTTGGTGCTTTACTGGCTTAATATGTTGCACATGGTTTTTGTTTTTTAACCTATGCAGTTAATTCCTCCCCCCTAGACATAGCATTGTGTTTGATAGTAACACTTTATCCATATATGCATGGTTTTTCTTTTGGGGGTGTGCTTTTAGGCTTGTTTGCAAAGGGCCGTTTTCCTTTTCTTTGCAATTGTCTTTTGCAGAACTACAGTGTGTGAGGTTATGAGCAATGGAACATGCAGGTTCAATCCATTGTTTTTTTATTTCTTACTTTAATTATAACTGCTTATCTATGCCAGAATCAGTTTCATATAAGTTATTTTGAATGGCGAGCATATGCGTAATTCACAGCTCTGGTCTGACTTTTCCAGTAAGCCATGAGATCCCATATTGACAAAATTTAATCTCATATCAGCCATTAAGAGTTTTTTTTTCTTTTGCTGATTCTAGCTTATCTCTTAGAAAGTGATAAATTGTTCTTTGAAGAGTTTATTTTTTCAATAGATAGTTGACGTTGGGATGGACGCTTAGCTGAGTAAAGAACTCCAAGTGATTGGTGGAAACAGCAAATTTGGAACCAGACATAGTTACTGTTCAAACTATAGAATATCACTTGTGAGGAAGCCATCATGGTCACATGGCTAATCGAGAATGGAGTGCTAACTTCTGGCCAACAGCTGCATCTTCCAGTGAGTACCTGAACAGGGCTGATGTTCATACTTCTCAGGGATCTCCACAGACTCGTGGGTGTCCTCACTGCCCCTGTGAGACAGCCTCTGTACAGGAGAGGCCTCCAGCGAATTGCAGCCATCCTGGTGTCTTCAGTGACATTGCTGAGAAGCCGCACGCTCCAGAACTGGTTCTGTGCTCTTTGGTCAATGCCAGAACGTGAATTAGTCCAACTTGGGATGTGTTTTTTACTGGTAGTAGCTACAAAGTACGATCCCAAGTGGGACTTGTGACATTTTGGTGGTCATGTTCTGTTTGGACATAACCTCTGTGTATTTCATTTATTTTCTTTTACCTGGCGATCTCTGAGCAGGCTTCAGATTTTGACAGTTCATGAAAGATGACAAGCATTAATGTATGTGTGAAAAGCTTAGGGAAATTCTGAGTGAAGTTATAGTTAAAGTTGGTTGAACTTGGGATTGACTGGGAGGCCAAAGATTTAAAAAGCGGAAAATTCTCTCAAAACACAAGTTGTGTGATAATAGTGTGTGCTTTGTGTGTGTGAATGAGGATTTGTAAATGTTGAATTCTAGGCTCCGACAATCATTGTCAGTGCAGATCAGACTGCAAGTATTTATGTTTTAAAACTTAAATTATAAAGCTAGTTAAGTCTTTCTAACAACTAGTTTTAATGTTCATGAGCACGTTTTACCTATGTTACCTATTCAAGATGTTGGAAAAGATGCATCGCAAGCACAGGTGGAGGCTGGGAGCTAGCTGGTTTTGAGGAAGAGGCCTTTGTGGAGTCTTTCCTATAGTAAAGGAAGGAAAACAGTGCCTTCTGGGACTAAACTAAGTTTTAATTTGAGATTAGAAGTCAAAAACAAAAATATAAAGGAAATTGAAACCTCGTTAAATTGATCTTTGAAGCATTGAAATGAAATTGAGTGGGACTTTGAGGCCTTCTTCCAGAAAACAAGGACTTGGTTGCCAGGCCTATATTAGGCCTAAACCTTGGTGCCATTGTTTACTTAAATTTTTTCAATGGAAAGTACAGTTTGGAGTTCTTCCATTTGAAAACTGTGACTTTTGCATGGGATTGTTTGAATCTTGTTTTCTAGTCTCTCTTCTTGTCACCAACTTCATAGTCTGAAGGTAGATTTTTCTCTTGATAAAGGAACAAAAAAAGTGAACATCTTATTTGTAAATTGATATCTAGTAACTAGTGTTAAACTTGAAATGGTAGAATTCTTTAAAGCCTAATTTTTGGTAGCCTTAGAAAGATGTATCTTAATTATTTTTGAACCTGTATTCACCTTGTTTTTTCATATATCTTAAGTTATATTTTCTTTTCAGAGCTGCTTATTTGGGGCTTTTTTTTTAAATTGAGGCGTAATTCATAAAAGAGGGTACATTGTTTTGATGATATTTTTACAACGTTGGCTGGATGTCTTTAGTCTTCCAAGAAGGGCCATTTTACTTTTAGAGTTACTTTACTTTTAAAGTCTTGAGGTAACACTTGGACCACTTTGCATGTAAGCGCTAATGCAAATTAAAACTCAAGTTGACCTCAAGCAGTTCACTCTATGAATGTTGACAGCAAAAAGAACACTTAGCTTGTTGGGGGCTGAAGAAATTTTTTTTTTTTTTTCAAAAATCAAGGTATACTCTAGGGTTTCCTGGTCGACCTCAATAGATAAAGTTCAGAAATGCTCTGGATGTGTTAGGTTTACAGTCTACATACACGGCTGGCTAAGTGAGATGGCTTTTACAGTTCTGCATGTATCCCTTAGGCTTCCCATTAGTTACTGAACCCCTAAAACTGGTATTGTAATATTACAACAATGTTTTGCGCCAATTTTATAAACCTTTACAGTGCAATATGTGTTACTTTTCTGAGGCAAACCAAAGGTGTATTTCTCAAGGTTCTGCTGCCTTCAGCAGCGTTTGGAGGATCTTTTATACATTTGTAATAGATAGAAATAAACCAGAAATGCAGTTTTCATTTTTCTGTCTTTCTTTTTTTTTTTAATTGTAAACCATGTACCAAGTTTCTGGTCAAGATTGTGTAGGATAAGTTAAACATAATTGCATTCTATTAACCAATATGAGTGTATTTCTTATGCATATAGTTACATTGAAATAAAGTTCTAAAAACACGAGGCCTTTGTTTATTATTGGTGTATCAAAGAAGCCAAGATCAACTTTTTTCTATAACTGCAAGTACATTATACCTTGATTTTTCTTTCCTTTTCCTTCAGTGCTGAGAATCAAACACAGACCTTGTAGGCACAAATGACTCCATCGCTGAGCTATGTCTCCAGTACAGTGTATTTAAAATTTCTAAGGCTCGGGCTGGAGAGTTGGCTCAGAGGTTAAGAGCGTTGCCTGCTCTTCCAAAGGTCCTGTGTTCAATTCCCAACAACCACATGGTGGCTCACAACCATCTGTAATGGGGTCTGGTGCCCTCTTCTGGCCTGCAGGCATACACACAGACAGAATATTGTATACAGAATAAATAAATATAAAAGAAATAAAATTTCTTAGGCTAGCTGGAAAGACAGTAGTGGCTAGCAGGCATAGTGAGTAGGCTTCTGGTGGTTTTTGGGTTGGGAGCGACACTGGTGTTAGTGACGCTATTACACCTTCACAGTGAGAGAGGGGCTAGTGCACTCTGACTGCGGCTGACCCTGAACTGGAGGACTGCAGTTTACATATGCTTTTATCTGCAGATCTCTTAGGTCTGAGACACTTCAAGCAATTAAATTTGTTGTACAGAGACACAAGCTGTGAGTTTGGTTGTTTAAATGGGGGAAATTTATAACGTTTTTTTTGTTTTTGTTTTTTAATTTTATTTATTTATTGTGTATACAGTGCTCTGCCCACATGTATTTCTGCAGGCCAGAAGAGGGCGCCAGACGTCTTTACAGATGGTTGTGAGCCACCATGTGGTTGCTGGGAATTGAACTCAGGACCTTTGGAAGAGCAGGCAGAACTCTTAACCACTGAGCCATCTCCACATCCCCTTTATAACACATTGTTACAGCTAATCTAGAGACAGACCAGGATTGTTTTTCTGGGTAGCCCAGGGGCGTGGGCTCCTCAGCTGCCTCCAGACTCATGCTCCCTAAGAGAACGGAGCCTGACGGGCACTTGGGACCAGCCAGCTCACCACCCTTTGACCTGCCTGAGCTGCAGTGCTGCTCAGCCGACTGCCAGCTACTTCTGTGTAACTTAATGTGTTCTAAGGAAATGCTGGCGAATGCTTTATAGCATTAGTTCATTTCATTTTCTCCTCACCAGGGGCCATACTGCAGTGCAGTGTGCAGTCTTTGGAGAGGTAGAGGCTGGGGAGAAACTGCCAAGTTCAGTTTTACTCAGCGGTTTCTTCCTATGCAGTGTAGCCGTCTAAAGTGTCCATATCCCTTTCCAGTAGCCAGGCCTGAGGTGAGCAGACTTTGGCCCTGGTCTGATGAAGGTCTGATGAAGGGAGGGGGAGCTAGAAGTATTCACTGAATCCGCTATTTTAAGATCCTACTATCTGTAATGGGGCTGAAAAGGAAAAGGTTAGCATTCCTTGTTCTGTGACTGAGGCTTGCCACTCCCTTCTGCAACTCTAGAGCCATATGTTAACCAGGCTTAGGTGTTGGCATGATTTAGAGAGGGCAGAGTTGAGAAACATTGACTTTTGTAAACCATCAAAGAAAAAGATGGCATTTAGTAATTTGAGAGTAAATCATAAGATAAGGGAATATTAAGTATTGGTTATCTATAGATGAATTTGTGGCCTGCGGAATGATTCCTTAGAAATAAAGTACAACGTTTTTTTTTTTTTTTTTTCTTAGTGGAACTGAGATGTTACATGGGACAAGGTAGATGAAATTAGAAACAAGCCAAGTAGCCAAGCTGTGGCGGCCCACGCTTTTAGTCCCAGCACTCGGGAGTCAGAGGCAGGTGGATCTGGGTGGGCCATCCTGGGGTACAGAATGTTTCAGGACAGTCAGAGCTGTTACACAAAGAAACCGTGTCTTGAAAAACAAAACCCAACAAGCCAGCAAGATTTTTTTGCATTTCCCATTTACAGTGTATCTAATTTGATCAGTAGTTTGTGTTAGAATTTCAGCCTCGTACTCTGTCCGTGGTACTCGGCAAGCTCTCCAGCAATACGGAATAGTTCCATCAGCCAGGAGAGAAAGCACTAGCAATGTAAGTTATCTGAGGTGGCGAGACTCGGAGAAGTCACAATGGGACACTAGTTAAGGCTTTGGGCTGCTTTGCTGAAGATGAGAGGTATTTTGTACACTGTGTGTACTTTTGGATGCCCAGGGTAGAATTGTATGAGATGGCAGTTGAAACGCTCAGAGAATTCACATGCGGTAGCAGAATTTCTAAAGGCCCCTTCATCAATCACGTCAACCTGAGTTTGATAGACACTGGGATTGTACATACACAATAAAAAATGGGAAATTGGGCCTGGAGGTGGTGATGGCATACGACTTTAGTCCCAGCTCTCAGGAGGATCTCTGAGTTATAGGCCAGCCTAGTCTACAAGTGCTAGTTCCAGGGTAGGCTCTAAAGTTACAGAGAAACCCTGTCTTGAGGATCCCCCCTCACACACCCAAAGAAAAAAAAAAAAGGAAAAAAAGAGAAATGATGGAGGATAATCAACTTTAATCTTTGGCCTCCAGTTGTGTGCATCCACATGCATAGACTGCAGACAGACAATAACAAGAGGGGCTGGACGGTGGTAATCGGTTTTAGTCCCAGTACTTGAGAGGCAGAGGCAGGTGGATCTCGAGTTCAACACCAAGCTGGCATACAAAGCGAGTTTCAGAACCTCCAGAAACCCTGTCTGGGGAGATAAAAAGGGGTGGGTGCGGAAGAGATGGTGCAACCGTTAAAAGCACTTGCTCTTAAAGGGGACCCAGGTTCTCCTAGCACACCCATGTGCCAGTTAAATACCTTTGCGCCACGTGTAGGGGCTGGGTCTAATGCAAGAGCAGCAAGTTCTCTTAATGCTGAATCATTTCTCTGGAAACCCCTCCCCCTCCACTGTATCTTTATAAATGGGAGTAGTAATTTACATGGGCTTTGAAGTAGTTTGACTATATGGAAAGCATGGCTCATTGTGCCATCATAAAGAACCAGGGAGATGCCTCATTGGTTAAGAAGATTTGTTCCTCTTGCAGAGGATTTGAGTTTAGTTCTCAGCACCTACGTGGAGATTTCCAACTAATTCCAGTTGTCCTCTTCTGGCCTTGGTTATGTCTGCATAAATACATGCAGGCAAAACACTTCATGCTTGCTAGTTTTTTAAAAAACAGATTGCAAAGAACACATACGGGTTATGATTATAGTACCACCTGTGAGCAGTATGAAACAGCATTGTGTGGGAAGGAAAGTTCCACAAGAGGTCACTGTAAATAATGCTTAGTAAACAAGCCTACTGTGGCTTTTTCTCAGGGAAGACCAATCAATGAATCCATAAAAATGTTCCCAATTCACCCCCATCCACCCATTGACTGGACTCCCCTTCTCATCATGGACTTGCTGAAAGTTTAGGCAGGACCTTGGCAATCTTGCACTTCCAAATACTGTGACACGTAATACTTTTTTCCAGTAAATATATTTGTTCTCTAATGGCCTCCACATCTGGCCAGAGTGCAGACAGCGTCTCATTAAACACTGTACCTTTTGTTTTGAAACAGGCTAGTTTTGAACTCCTGCCTTTGCCTCTCAAGTGATGGGATAACAACACGTGAGCCACTCTCATGCCTGACTTTAGCATCGCACAGGTCTTGGCATCTGTCAGGGAGACTACAGGCCTAATAAGTGCATTCTTCCACTGGACAGACTACCTAGAAAGTAAGTTCTAAAATATTTAGAAACAGGAAGCCTTTGAAACGGATTCAAGAAGGGGGTATTCTGAAGATAATCTGGATATATTTAGGAGTATTAGCTGATCTTTGATATGAAGAGGAAAGGTGAGGTGCATACCTGTAGGATGTTCAAATACCACGCCCCTCTACCCGGCATTAATACGGTCAAACACAAGACACTTAAGAGCAGGTAGCTGTGTTGTCTGTTCTATTCACAATAGTCTGCAGTGTGTGCTTTTTGTTTAAACATTATGCTTTGACAGATAAGGAAACAATACTGCTGGAAGGACAGCCCCCAAGATGGGGAGAGGCATCATGAGTAATGATCAGGAGAACTCTCCTCTGAGCTCTGGGTTCCTGCTCAGCGAGGAGAGCAGCTTCACTCAAGCTAGTCATTTCCAGGAAGCCAGCCTCCATTTCCAGTTTCTGGGGAGTGTTTGAGCAGGAAGCAGGCACACAGGATCACATCTGGTCTCCGCTTCTCTCTGGTGGCCACAGGAAGTCAGTATGGCCAAGAACTTGAACACATTTAGAACCTGGGAGATTACACATTAAAGTCCTGACACCCAGGGTGACTTAAAAACACAAGCGCATTTGTGCCACAGGTCCCTGGACTTTCCTACTGTAATTAAGACAACTTACAGAAGGGTTTGTCTGGGCTTGTGGTTCCAGAGGGATAAGAGTCATCATCACCGAAGGGAAGAGTGGGAACCAGTACCAGGCACGGTGGCAGCAACACCTGATAATAGCTCTTCTGTATGTGTTTGTTTGTCCTTTTCTCATTCCCAGTTTCTTAGACCAAACTGTAGGATGAGGCAGGTAGGTAGATGGTTGTGAGCTGCCGTGTGGGTGCAGGGAATTGAACCTGGATCCTGTGTAAGAGCAGCAGGTACTCTTTACAGCTGAGCCATTTCTCCAGCTCCTCATTTTGAACTTGTACATTGATGTTTTGCCATGGGTATTGGGTCCCCTGGAGCTGGAGTTACAGACAACTTGTGAGCTGCCAATTGAATCTGGGTTCTTTGAAGAGCAGTCAGTGCTCTTAACCACTGAGCCATCTCTCCAACCCTATTTTTTTTTAAAAAAGGTTTTCCTAGACAGGGTTTCTCCGTGTATCTCCTGTCCTGGAACTCACTCTGTAGTCCAGGCTGTCCTTGAATTTACAGTTCTGTCTGCCCCTGCCTTCCTAGTGCTGGAATTAAAGGCGTGTGCCACTACTGCCCTGGCCATTTTTTTTCTTTCTTCAAGACTGGGTTACTTTGTGTAGCCCTGGCTGTCCTTGAACTTTCCCTGTAGACTAGGCTAACCTCAAAATCACAGAGATCGGCCTGCCTCTGTATCCTGAGTGCTGGATTAAACGCATGCTCCACTACTGCCAGACTTTTGAACTTATTCCCCAGTTTATGGTGCCATTTTGGGAGGCTGGAAATTTGAGAGGTGAAGCCTAGCTAGCTGAAGTAGGACACTAAGAACTAGTCTTTGAAGGGTAGTTTTTGTTGGCTGTCTTGGTAACAGTGATGCTAACAAGGACCTGGGTGACTACATGGAAGGTAGCCACTGTATTCTGGGGGATTAAGTTGTCAACCACCAACTTCAAAGAAATGAAACCTGGTCACTATGAAAATCTGAAGGAAGTAGGCCTCCTCTTATGTACACTTGGGCCACAAATATGTATATAGTCAAGAAAAAAATAATTTTAATTTATAAACAATATATTATAAATAAGCATAGCCTCAAATAGTCAAAAATGTTCACTTGAGATTTTTAAAATGATAGTTGTTTGTGTGTCTTTATTTTTATATTTATTACAATTTAACACATTTCAATATTCTTACTATCCAGTATGAGTCCAGTTCTGCCTCACTTATCTTTATTATTTTTATATATAATACAAATTTCAACATATTTCACTATTGTTACTATCCAGTGTGAATCCAGTTCTGCGTCACTTTTTCTTCACCAGATTATACACCAGGGACAAAGGCTTCTTTGTTTTATAGGCCACACTTTTCTTGATGCGTTGTCCTTTGACGTTAACGATATACGGCAGGACAGGGGGCTGGACGGTCAGAACAGTTCCTGCAGGCGTGTAACCTCGGAGATGCAGTGTGCCCTTAGAGTAAGGTGTTACTGCAACCCAGCCTATGAGACATCAAGAGAACATAAAATGCTGCTATTGTCTCAGTAAGGAAATCAAATCAAACCATACACGACAGGAGATGGCTCAGGAAAAGCACTTGTCATGCAAGACTGACAACCTCAGTTCAATTCCCAAGACTCATAAAAAGATAGATAATCCCAGCACTCGGGAGGTAGAGGCAGGCGGATCTCTGTGAGTTTGAGACCAGCCTGGTCTACAAGAGCTAGTTCCAGGACAGGCACCAAAGCTACTGAGAAACCCTGTCTTGAAAAACCATTAAAAACAAAACAAAAAATGGAGTCATAGTTGGTGAGTTTTCTGATGCAGGTGCTGGGAATGAACCAGGAGCTCTTTTTAAAATTTGTTTTTCACGACAGGGCTTCTCTGTAGCCCTAGCTGGCCTCGAACTCAGAGACCTGCCTGTTTCTGCCTCCTGAGTGTGGGGATCAAAGGTGTACAACACCATACCCAGCTGCAGCAAATGCTCTTAACCGTGTAGCTGTTAGGCACGTTAGGCAAGGTTTTACTCTAAAGCTCAGGCTGGCTTAGCACTCACTGTGTTGCATAGGTTGGCCTTGCACTTAAAGCAACCCTCTTGCCTCACTGATGGGATTATAGATGTGAGCCACCATGTCTAGTTTTTTTTTTAACTTCTTAAATGCTGGGATCACAGGCGTGCTACCATACCCCGCTTTTTATTTTTATATTTGATATTAGGCCAAAGGCATCTTTGCTGAGCCAGAGTCTCATGTAGAATAGACGGGCTTCGACCTCCAGCCAATACCTTGCAAATGCTGGCGTTTAGGCACATGTCACCATACATGGCCTATGTTGTGTTTTAAGAGTATATTACCTCCAGGTGGTGGTGGCACACGCCTTTAGTTCCATCACTTGGGAGGCAGGGGCAGGCAGCAAAGATCTCTTGAGTTCGTGGCCAGCCTGGTCTACAACCTGAGTTCCAGGACAGCCAGGGCTATGCAGAGAAACCCTGTCTCAGAAAAAGCAAAACTAAAACAAAGAGTGCTTTACCTGCAGAGGAGAACTTGATATCAGCTACTGCTTCAGATTCTCCGCCTCCTTTTAATGTAATGTCTTCAGCCACAAGAGGAGGAAACTGTGCCATTCGTTCTTTTCCACCCATTGGAACCTTTTAATAAAACAAATGTTTGGAATTTCAAATTAAATTCCCTGTTAACTGAGTTTGGGCATGGCGGCTCATACTCTGATCCCAGCACTGAAGAGGCAGAGGAGGGGAATTTCTGAGTTCAAGGCCAGCCTGGTCTACACAGCTGACTACTAGGCCAGTCAGGGCTACATAGTGAGACTCTGTCTCAAACAAAACGAGCTGGTTTCTTACTTGATACAGCATCAAGGATGACCTTGAACTCCAGATATTCATGGTTCTACAGTTGGAGTTCCCTAATGTTGGAGTTACACACACCTGGCTAACTTTTGCATTTTCAGTTTTGTGAGCATGGATACTAACACCGCTCCACTGGGTGCGCCTGTAATGACTGCAACAGCTGTTGTCATTATCACTCAAAAGCAGGGAGACCTTAGAGGAGTCCTAGGGCTGGCAGGATGGCTCAGCAGGTAAGTACACTTTTGAAGCAAGCCTAGTGCCAACGAGATGTAGGAGAGAAGTGACACCACCTGTGTCCTCTGACCTCCGTGTCCTTTGTGACACGGGTGTGTGAGCACGCACACATGCACACTAAATAAAGCAAATTGAAAAGCAAACAGAGCCAGGCATGGTGGTCTTTCATCTTAGCACTCAGGAAGCTGAGCTCTCGGAGATCCAGGTCAGCCTAGACCCCATAGCAAATTTCAAGACACCAAGGACTATATGCTTCAAAAAGGAACAAAACGGAAACATGAAGAAAAGGATGAAGATTGCCTTCGGCACTTAATCTTTTCCACTTCTCAGGAGACAGGCACAACGCGGAGAGGAGTAGGAAGTGCACAGCTTTGTCTAGTGTGCAGTCAGGGGGACATAGGAACCCAGGCAGTCTGGTTTCAATATCTTAACTAGTGTGCTTGCTGATGCATTCTTAAGATCCTTGCACTTGAGAAGCAGAGGCAGAAAGCTCAGGAGTTCAAGGCCAGTCTTGGCTACATAATTAATCAGCAGCCAGCATTGTTATATGAGAAGCTTTTTAAACATCAAAACAAAAATTTAATTTTTTTTTTTTTATGTTTTACTTATATGTAAGTCTGTGCACCACATGGGTGCTGCCCAAAGAGGCCGGAAGAAGTGCTCGAAAGTGACCTGCGATCATCTGGAAGAGCGGCTGTACTCTTCTGAGCCATCTCTCCAGACGAGCTGGAAACAGACTTCAGACAATTGGGCTTGGTGAATTTCAGTGGGATGATGAGGGCCAAATAGGGCTATAGCAATGGGATACAAGGCAAGAGTAAGCTGGACTGTAAAGAAAAGGAATATTCAGGACATTTTATTTTTTAAATAAAGAGGAGAACAATCAAGACACAGTCTAAAGTAAGAATTAGAAGAGGAAAAACCTGTGAGAACAAGTGTCTGGGCCTGGGAATGACACAGGGAAGCTTTTCTACTCAGTCCCGTGCTTATCAATCACTACTGAGATCTTAGTTTGTTCCTCATCGTATGCAGATCGCCTTTCTGCCGCAGCACGGTTTAGTGCCACTTGGGGCTTACACACGCTAGATGCCAGCATCCATCCTCTCAACCGTGACAAAAGCTGTAACTTCTTTTTCTTTTGTTTTAGAATTCAATATGTACATCAGGATGACCTCAAACTCATGGGGATCCACCTGCTTCAGCCTCCCACATGCTGGGATTAAAGGTCTGTGCTCTGCCTCCCAGCTCCCATGACTTCTTTTCGCCCATCTTGACCAATACAATTTTCTGTAGTAATGTGACTATCAGGTGCTTGGAAAGTGGCCCGTGTGATTAGAGAAGCACGTTTTATATTTGTTGTAATTCTAACTGGAGTACTTAAATGTAGGTCGCTACGTGTGGACAGGGCACCACAGAGAAATACACTGCTGTGGCTTTGTTGGCTCAGACCAAACCACCCTTTGCATGCAGAGCCCAGTTTTGCTTTTTAACTGGGATGCTCAGAGAATGAGGTGCGGTAAGCGCTAGCTGATGCAAACTGACGGGTTATCCACCCCGGGCTCCATCAGCTGCTGTGGCTACACAGCCATCAAGCTGCACTGCTTACCTGCAGTAACTCGTGGCCTGCGTGCTTCTCATACAGAGCATCTGCCTTGTCCAGGGACGTGATATGAACAGGAAGGAAGTTGGAAGCCACGACTGTAAACCAAGCTGATTGATCTCCCTTAAGAAAGAAAGGAAGAAGTTATTTTACAGAACAGGCAACTTGGGAACGTGCACATTATGATGCACAACTTAAGAAAGGAGAGAGGAAAGCTAGGTGTGCGATGCATCCTTCTAATCCCAGCAACGGAGGCAGAGTCAGGAGTTCAAAGACAACTTCAGTTACAACATTGAGTTTAAGATCAGCCTGGGGTACAAGAGATCCTGCGTCAAAACAACAACAGCAAAAAGAGGAGAAAACAGAAACTAACCAAGTCCTCTTTCAACTGTAAGCAAATTATAATAATGTCTTTAAAAACAGGTCATAATACAAAAATAACATATTTTAACAATTCCTGTAAATTGTAAAACTAAGACTTCTACAACTTGATATTATAAAAAACAGACATGCATGGTGGCAAACCTGCAGGAGGCTGAGGTAGGAAGATGGTGAATTCAAGGCCAACCTGGGCAATATATGGAGACCCTGTCTTAAAAATTAAAGAAATAGGCAGCCTCTGATGGATTGGGCTCATGCTCCCTTCCCTAAGCCCACAAGGGTCTGATCTGGTGAAGGAGGAGCCCTGGGACTGTTGATCAGACTCACCCCTTAAAAGATGCATAAAAAAGGCCAAGGGAGAGAAAAAATCATCAGACAAAAAAGTGCCAACCGAAGGGAAGAGGGCAGCAAAGTGGCTGACCAGGAAACTACAGCTCTGCCTGCAGAAGATCAGAATCTGGCCTCTGAAGGAGAAGACATGGAGCCACCTCCAACTAACCATCCACCATGTCTGTCATGGTCCTGTCTCCCTTCTTGTACAATTCAAAGGAATATTTGTATCAATTATTCTGCAAATGGGACTTTTTAAAATAGACTCAGAAGCATCTTTAAAGGGAGTGGCAAACCACAGCTCATCCATTTTTAAGAGGTGAAATGACTTGCTGGATGTCGGAGAGGCTGCGGCTGTCTCAGCGGTCTGCACAACACTGCCCAGTTTTATACCCCACAATAAAAACTGGGCAGAACCAAACCAAAGCAAACCAAAAGCAATCTGGAGTCTTAGTCATGCATTTGTGTCTATTATTTGTGTCAATCATATCTAGTCTCATGTTTCTAGAACTGTTTCCTACAAAACCACTCCTGGGTCCTTGCCTTGTTGGGAATGTTACGTATTTGGTTGTGGCATTCCTTTCCTAACAAGTGTGGTAATGTGCTGTGAAAGATGGACATTTTGAGTGTGTCCTGTCTGTGAGTGTGTCCTGTCTGTGAGTGTGTCCTGTATGTGGCATAAAACTGTGAGTCAGCGGAAGTGAGGGTTGAGTGTTTGAGGGTTAAGTGATGTCTAAAGGACAGCTTGCCAAGTTTGAGGCTGAAACATTATTGCAATAACTGTTCAAAAAGAAGTATGTGGGGGGCTGGAGAGATGGCTCAGTGGTTAAGAGCATTGCCTGCTTTTCCAAAGGCCCTGAGTTCAATTTCCGGCAACCACATGGTGGCTCACAACATTCTGGAATGAGGTCTGGTGCCCTCTTCTGGCCTGCAGACATACACACAGACAGAATATTGTATACATAATAAATAAATAAATATTTTAAAAAAAAAGAAGTATGTGTTGGTTCTTCAGGGTTTTGGTACAAGTGCTAAGAATGGAAATCTCTGTGTACTGATCCTCAACTAATAAAATCTCAGTTGTAGAAAAACAACAAAAAACCCAAGATAACAAACAAAAAAATCTAAAAAACTAACAAAATAATCTGGGTAGTTTTATATCCAGTATTAAAAACAATAGGGAAGGACAGGGGAGATGGCTCAGCAAGGAGCAGTTCTTATAGAGGACCTGAGTTTGTCTCCCAGCATCCACATCAGGCAAAGTGCCTGTGGCTTCAGGTGATCTGGTATCTTCTGGCCTCACTGGGTTCCTACACACAAATGTTACAAAAACTCATGCAGGAACATACACATAAGTAAGTAAATCTATCTTTAAAAAGAAAACAATAACAGCAGCAACAACAAAAGACCCATGGGGGCTGGAGAGATCGCTCAGCGGTTAAGAGCACTGGCTGTTCTTCCAGAGGACCCGGGTTCAATTCCCAACACCCACATGACAGCTAACAACTATCTGTAACTCCAGTTTCTGGGGAATCTGATACCTTCACAATAATCCACATAAAATAAAGTTAAATAAATTATAAAAAAAATTAAAACAACAACAACAAAAGACCCAAAAAACCAAAGCCACAAGCAAGGAAATAGCTTATTTTGATTGTCACTATGTAGTTAGGTTTAAAATACTATTGTCATGACTTTAATAACATGTACAAGGGTTCTGGATAATACACGGCTAAATTTTCAACAAAAGTCAAGAAATGGTCTTGGCAATGAGTGGTAAGTTACATGCCACTGAATATATTCATGTTTCATTTTCTTTTTCTCTTTTCACTTTGGAAGAAATGGAGAGCAGTTCCCTGGCATCCCCAGAATTTAATGGATATTAACCTTAGGCCTAAATATATGTATAATTTCCATGCGAAACAATATAGGAAACGGACAGTATCTCATCTGAAAGGCTAAGCTATAGTGCCAGGTGGAGGTGGCCCATGTCTTTAATCCCAAAATTTGAGGCCAGCCTGGTCTACAAAGTGAGTTCCAGGACTGCCAGGGCTACCTGCCAGAGGGACCCTGTCCTGAAAAGCCAAAACCAACCAAACCACACCAATAAAAAACTTCAACCAAAAACAACAACAATAAAAAGCTAAGTTATATAAGGGATTCAATATCCTATTAGTGGTAGGTTTTTTGTTTTTTTTAAATTGTTTTGGTTTTTTTGAGACAGGGACTCCCATTCTAGATCAGGCTGAACCTCAAACTCACTGAGATCTGCAGCTTTGCCTCCAGAGTGCTGGGATTAAAGGGTGTAACCAAGCCCTGTCCTGTTTTTTTTTTTTTTTAAATAGGGTTTCTTAAAAATTAAAAATAAATAAAAAATAAATTAAAAAATATTTTTAGATTTATTTAAAAAATTAAATTATGCATATATGTGTTTATGTGGGGTTAAGTTCGTATGAGTAAAGGTACCCACAGAATCCCGAATAGGTGGTGAGCTGCCCAATGTGAGTGCTGGGAGCTGAATTGGGTCCTCTGATAGAGTAGCAAGCACTCTTAACTGTTGAGCTGTCTTCTCTGGCACCAAATTTATAGATTTTTATCACAGTATTGTTCTCTATTTTTGGCCTACTTCTTTCCCCAAAGTTTTTATTATAAAAATTTGTGTACATACAAAACAAAACAAGCAACAGACAGGACTTAGTTATACCAATATTTTGTCAATCTCTTTATGTATCTGCATTCCTCAAGTGTATTCTTTTTTTTTTTTTTTTTTTTTTTGGTTTTTTTGAGACAGGGTTTCTCTGTGGCTTTGGAGCCTGTCCTGGCACTAGCTCTTGTAGACCAGGCTGGTCTCGAACTCACAGAGATCCGCCTGCCTCTGCCTCACGAGTGCTGGGATTAAAGGCGTGCGCCACCACCGCCCGGCCCTCAAGTGTATTCTTGTGCATTTTTCTTTCTATTTATTATTTTTTTAAAAAACCCTCTTTTCTCATTTTATTTTATTTTTTTTGGTTTTTCGAGACAGGGTTTCTCTGCGGCTTTGGAGCCTGTCCTGGAACTAGCTCTGTAGACCAGGCTGGTCTCGAACTCACAGAGATCCGCCTGCCTCTGCCTCCCGAGTGCTGGGATTAAAGGCGTGCGCCACCAACGCCTGGTTCTCTTTTCTCATTTTAATACCAATCCCAGTTCCCATTCCCTCCCCTCCTCCTGCTCCCCCTATTTTCCCCCTATCCACTCTTTGGTAAGATTTCCCATGGGGAGTCAACAAAGTCTAGCACATTGTTTTAAGGTAGGACCAAGGCCTTGCCCACTATATCTAGGCTGAGCAAGGTATCCCTGCAAAGAGAATGGGTTCCAAAAAAGCCAGTACAAGCAATAGGGATAAATCCTGGTCTCACTGCCAGTGGCCCCACAGTCTGCCCCAGCCATACAATTGTCACCCACATTTAGAGGGCCTAGTTTGGTCCTATGCAGGTTTCCTCACTGTTCTTTTTTTCAAAAGATTTATTTATTTATTATACATACAGTGTTCTGTCTCCATGCATGCCTGCAGGTCAGAAAAAGGAACCAGATCTCATTACAGATGGCTGTGAGCTACCATGTGGTTGCTGGGAATTGAACTCAGGATCTCTGGAAGAGCAGTCAGTGCTCTTAACTTTTGAGTCATCTCTCTAGCCTCTGTTCATTTTTCAATAGCATAGATTTTTCTTACCTCTAGGAAATCTATTCGGGCTATAGCACCCAAAAATAGAACCATTCTTGGTTTGAGAACAAATGTTCTTGGCACAATAGAATGTGTTGGCAAAACAATATCTACTTCTTTTTCTGTTAGAAGATTTAAAATCTGTAAAGCAAAAGACAAGATTTATTTAGAGGACTACTTTCATTTAACATATTTTGCGATTTACTTACAAATTTAAGTACCGAAAAAATGTTCAGATTTCATAATAAACCAGATTATGTTCATTCACCACACGTAAAATTATATATTGTCTCTAACTTAACTATTATTCTACTCATTTCACAACTGCGTGTTAAATAGTGGCGAAACAACATGATGGGTGTATAAGACTTTCCTATGACAGCGCTATCCCCCAAATGTCAAAACTGTTATGTACCCCAAAATACTGTTCAGTCACTAATGGAAATGTATGCTCAGGTATTCAGGTAGCAGTAGCGTCCAGCTTTAAATAACGGACATTGTAATCTCAGGTCCTAAGGATTAAGTATGCAAGCATCAAATGCAAAATGGTTTAAACCTACAAATCTCAGTTCTGGGAGGCTAAGGCAGGATGGCTGTCATAATTTTAACGCTAGCCTGGACTATGTAGTATTTCCATCTACTTTAGGAACAAGTACACAACTTGATCCTCTCTCTCCTGAACATCTGTCAAACATCAGTGCTGTGCATCTTGGCTTGGTAGGGCATCAGATCCCCTGGAACTGGAGATATAGGAGGCTGTGGAAATGGGAATTGAACTTGGCTCCTCTCTGGAAGAACAATGTCTACAGCCCAACAGCAAACACTATCAACCACTAAGCCATCTCTCCAACCACAGGATCAACGTTATTAAAGAGACTAAAGAAAAACAGAAAAGATAGGAACACATTCTGGTAAGATTTAAGGAGGATAAAATTCATTAAAAAATGAATTCACAGTAGCTATGGAACCAACCTAGGTGTCTACCAATAGAGGCATGTATAAAGAAAATGGGTTTAATATACATAGGAAGCTTGAGTAGCTAGAATGAATGTAGTTATGTTTTTTTGCAAAAAATGGATGCAAGTGGAATAAATCATACTAAGCAAAATGTGTGCACCACCGTGCTTAGCCAGATATAGGCTAAATTTACTTAGACAACAGCCAAGTGACCATAAGACAATGTAATTTGAGTAAAAGGGTGGATAATGGCAGGATAGGTAGAATTAACCCTACTCTAAAAATATGGTCACTTGACCACTTATCACCTAGAGTATTTCAAGATGTGTCAAAGGAAATACATATCATGTTTGTTCCACACAGTTTTGAAGAACAATGGGTACAAGTAACTGGGAGACTTTCAGTAAAATGTAAAGAGCAGGCAAGAAATAGCTGAATACCCTGGGAGTGCACATGTCATTGCTCTGATAAGTTGTCATCACCCACTTCAGCTCAAACTATATGACATTATGAATGACATACTTTCAAGGGAATTCAAGCATAAACTCAGAAGCTTTACTGTACTATTTATTATTTCTAACCCTAAAATATAGGAACCTATAAACACGTCTTCCTAAGGTAATAACCACAATGTTAATATTGTTGTTTGCCTACAGAGACGTAAACTAAAGGAACCCAGAATCTGATGGCATGTAGATTCACCCTTGGATTGCTTTTATAAAGAAACCACAATTGCGTTTTCAAATGGAAGCCCACCTCTTTTCTTGTTTTGGCCAGTTAAGACAGTACATCTACAATTAAAAGTAAATATTTCTGAAAGCAACTAAACACATACACAGCTTTCTTTTGTAATCCCAGGGGTATCATAAAACCAGTGGGCGTCTTTCACGTCTTCTGGGGTCAGTTCTACTTGTTTGGTACATGGGCGTGCAGCTACAACAGGCTCATTTCCCATGTCAAAGGCCAACGAGTCGGCATCAAACTCAAAGGGAACTTCTTCCTTCTGTTCTGTGGAGTATGAGAATGTTTTTCCAACTCTTCCTAGAACAAATTAAATCAAGGTTATCAGACATTCCTTTAATACTTTGATTCTGAAAATATTTTTGAGATGGGTTCTCTGTACATAGTTCAAGATGTTGTTAAACTTGTGATTTTTCTCTCCTCAGCTTCTATAGTGATAGGCAACAGATTACACGCATGCATGTGCGTGTGCACACTCACATGTATATATACATATATGTATTTATCTTGGCTGTTGTATTTGGAAAAGATCTCATGTAGAGCAGCAGCTTTGCTGCAAAACCACCATGAACTGAAGTTTTTTTTCCTCTCCTACGTGTTGGGATTACAGGTGTGTACCTTATGCCCTTGAAGACCTCCCTACCTCAGAGACAGGGTCTCAATATGTAGCTTTCTTTGGTGGGCCTGGAACTCTTTGTGTAGACAGAATGGCCTTGAATTCATAGAGATCCACCTGTCTCTGTCTCCCAAGTGCTGGAACTAGAGGCAGGCAACACCATGCCAGGCCCTGAAGACACTTCTTAAGCTTGCCTTATAAATATTTATACACTAAAACTATGTGTATAAATATGAAACTGTGGCTATGATTATAGTTGTGTCTTCTTTTTCACAGATAATGTGAGTCATTCCCTTGCACGTCAGTTGTGTTTCAGGCTAGGTGGTGTTAGAAATCCCTTCTTTTCCATTAACAAAATCAGAAGAGAGATCAAGGAGATGGACAACCTAGCTAAAGAACTTTACTGCCTCTGCTGGTTTGGGTTTCCAAGCAATAGTAACCTTTCCTACAAAAAGCCTATATTCCAGAACCGGAAAGTCTTTTCCTGCAAAAAAATGGCCAGCCCCAAAACTTTATCATGGAACCAACAAGACTTTTTTCTAAAGAGGAAGGATGCACTGTGGGGACATTTTGTTTATGATCTAACAAATAAAGCTTGCCTGAAGATCGGAGTGCAGAGCTAGCCACACTAGCTAGCCATAGAGGTTAGGCAGTGGTGGCAGACACCTTTGATCCCAGAGGCAGATGATCTGTTAGTTCAAGGCTACCCTGGGCTACACGAAATTGATCCAGTCTAAAATAGAAACAGTTCACACAAAGGTGATCCCAGCACTTGGGATCCCAGCATTAGGGAGGTGGGGAGGAGATGGGAGCTCAGTGCAGTCTGAGGAGGCAGTCTGAGTTCAGGATCGCCCTCAGGTAGAGGTAAGAACTCTAGTGGTTGGTTGTTCTGCTTCTCTGATCCTTCAGCCTTCACTTGCCCGATAGCTGCCTCTGGGTTTTATTATTAAGAACAGTTAGAGGGCTGGAGAGATGGCTCAGAGGTTAAGAGCATTGTCTGCTCTTCCAAAGGTCCTGAGTTCAATTCCCAGCAACCACATGGTGGCTCACAACCATCTGTAATGAGGTCTGGTGCCCTCTTCTGGCCTGCAGACATACACACAGACAGAATATTGTATAAATAAATAAATAAATAAATATTAAAAAAAAAAGAACAGTTAGAATCTGTGCTATAACGCATACCTATCATGTAACCATGCTTTTTCAGTTGATTGAGCTCATTTTGCTCTTCCTCACTGAGATCTTCTTCAGCTTTGGTCGCCTCTTCTTTAAGCCTTCTTTGTCTTCTGAACATTCTGTAAGGAGTCGGGTTACAAATGGGAAACTTGAGGAGGTTTAGTGTAGTACCTGAAATACCAAGAGTAAGGTTTAATGTAGTACCTGAAATACCAAGAGTAAGGTTTAATGTAGTACCTGAAATACCAAGAGTAAGGTTTCAAAAACAGAAGCGTGGAAGAAGAAAACCAAACACCTCTGATTTTTTTCATTTAACCTTCATGACAACCACTATGTAATTATTTCCACTTTACAAACAAGGAACTAGGCCTAGTAACTGGTTCATACGCAAACTCAGAATCTGAGTAAAAATTTCCCAAGTCTGTATTATTCCTGCTTTTCACCATTTATCCTCCAGTACATCCAGGGTCATAGGCAGCTTTAAGTTTGAAGTGCCAAAGGGCAGTTAAACTCTGCTTTCAAGGGGACACGTTTCTGTCAAGCGAATTCCTAGGACTGGAACTCCCCAAGTGCATACATTTCCCTTTAGCTTCTTCCTTCAGAGAGGCTCTTGAACCCCACATCCTCAGGCTCTTTCTCTCCAGCGTTGTAATGACTGGACAGAACCACCATGCCATACTATCAGTTTCTTTAACTCTGAATACTGACATTTCTTCTCGAGAAATCCCCACACTTACCGCATCAACTCTTTCATGTCTAGTATAACAGCCCAAGAATAAAAATTCAAGGGGTGAAGAAGGGTCTTAGAGTAGATGGGGGCCTATGTATCTAATTCACTGTAGCCTCCAGCTATGTAGGCGAGAATGACTTTGCTCTCCTCCCAATCCTCCTGTCTCCACCTCCCAAGTGCTTAGGATACAGGAATTTGCCACCACATCACATCTCGTTTACACGGTAATGCATACTAACTCAGGCTTCGGCAGTGCTAGCCAAGCACTTTAGTAACCAAGCTTTATCCTCAGCCCCTCCCCTAGAAACATTTCTATTAGAAAATCACATGTATTGAATTTCCAAGCGCTCAACTGTCACAAGAGTTATGAGCAAAGTGGGGAGAAAATTTTGAAAGGGACGGCTCCAGGCAGCTCAAGATGGACATGTAAGGGTAGATGTACTAGGTGCCGGAGAGAAGTCTAAGTTCTCAACAATGGGGCCTCACCTGGCCAGGGGGAGATGGTGGCCCTGTCGATGGCTTCGGAGCCCTTGGCAGTGCAGTAATCAGACTCCAGGAGTGTGTTAAAGAGAGTGGACTTGCCGGCGTTCGTGGTGCCCACTAGGTAGACGTCGCCGCGGTAGCGCCAGGAGCGCTGAAGTGCAGAAATCAGTTCTTCCACGCCATAGCCAGTCTTGGCGCTGATCAGCCGCACGTCCTTGACCACGGTGCCGGCCCTGGTCGAGCGATTCCGATTCTTTTCCTTGTCCTGAGGCTCATCCCCGGCAGGGTTCTGTGGTCCTCGGTGGCCAGGAGCCACCACGAGCCCGGCCCGGATGCAGTCGTCCCACAGCCGCTTCCGCAGCCGCTGCAAGTAGCCGGGCGCGTCCTGGGGCAGCAGGTCCACTTTGTTCCCCAGTACGAAGACCTGCTTGGGACCCACCAGGTTGGACAGGTCGGGTAGCAAGGCGTCCGGCAGGTCGAGCAGATCCACCATATAGAGCACCAGGGCGGGCCCCGGGCGCCGCAGCGCCGCGCTCACTAGCTCCAGGTACTGCTCGCGACTCACCCGCAGGCGCAGCGCACGTCGGTGATGCACCAGCAGCCAGCAGCGCTGGCATACCGTCCGCGCCGGGCCGCCGTCCGCCTGTGTCGCATCGTGGAACTTCTCTTCCGGCAGGTAGCCGGGCAGGCTGGGGTGCTGGCAGTGCAGCTCGGCCCCGCAGCCCGAGCAGTACACGCCGCTGGGCGGCACCGTGGTGTCTGGAGGAAGCTCGGGGACCTGCAGAGACCCGAGGCCTGCCCGCAGCTTCCGCTGAAGCCGCTCCTCCCGCCGCTGCAACCTCTGTCGCTCCTCATCCTGCTGCCGCTGCTGCAATTCCCGCAGCTCTCTCAGCTGCTCCTCAGGGTCCGGCTCCGTCGGGACGTACTCCGGGAACAGAAAGCGCTCCTCCGTGTCGGGGCCTTCCTCGTAGTCCTCGGTCGCCGTGGAGCTGGGAGGAAGCCGGCGGCCCAGGGAGGATAGGCTCTGGGAGAAAGCGGCCGCCCACTTAGCCCCCAGGAGCCACCGTGCAGGGCCATGGCACGCTGCGGTCGGCGCCGAGCCCCGCAGGATCCCGCACAGCAGCCTGCAACCCAGGCGCGCGGGCAGCATGCGGACGGCCGGGAGGGGGGCGGGGCCTCGTGCGCGCAGCCGTGCGCGCGTCCGAGCGGCGAGGGAACTGTCCAACGGCGTGACTAATCCTGCATTTCTCGCGATGAAAGCTCCGAGACTCGAGAATTCACCCTGCGACGGCGCGGACTAGATAGAGCCGGCTGGGCAGGAGAGGCTCATCCCACACCCAGAGCCTGGCTCTCATAAATCTCCTTTACCCAAACCAAGTGTCATTTGTGCAACAACACTGAAAAGTCACGCAACAAGAAACTTTCATTGACTGGATCCAACTTCTGGCCGAAGGAGCGGTCTTCAGCTGCAGCCAGAGACCCAGAATTTGCACTCGTGCAGTTTATACCCCCCGCCAATCGCGCAGGCGCACATCTCACGGAGCTGCCCCCGCCCCTTAGGCGCGGAGGATGCTGGGAACGCCGGAGACGGAAATTGCTTGCTCCGACTCAGAGTTTGCTGCTGCAGGTTTCGCCTCCGGCTTTGTGAATTGAATTCGTATTAAGCGGTCCCCAAACCTTTGGCCAAGATGTATGACGCCGACGAGGGTAGGTGGCCGCGTAGCTGGGACGGCGGGGGACCTGCGGGGATGCAGGGTCTGCGCCTGCTACCCCATCCCGCCGTGGCGCGAGCCCCGCAGCCCCGTTCTTAGACGCTGGGCTCGCTAGCGGTGTGGGCTCAGGGAACCGGGTCGCGTTCCGGGTCCGCTTGGTGGCTGCCTGCATGCCTGCGGTTCAGTGTGCCATTACCTTCCAGAATCGATATAGTTATAGTGTGCAAGTGTTTGTGAACATTCGGGTGTTCTGACGTTGATAATTTCCTAATCATCCCAGTCCACTTATTGAATAGCTAGGCACTTTTGCTCTTTTTTTTTTCTTTCGATCCACGATCCAGAGGCTTGAACCCAGGGCCTGCACATACTCTGCTTTTGAGCCATATTCCTAGTCTGAGGTAGCTCAATTTTTTTTTTGACCACGTCCTCGTGCTAGATATTGTTATACCCTGGAAATATTAGGGCAAAGAATGTATATCTGGGTTGACATTCCATCACACTCTCTTCAGTTTAAGTAAATGCCTAAAAAGATGGTCTTCAATTAGTCTCTTAATCCTTACATATAGTGAGAGGGATAAAACAAAATTTTGATACCTAAAAAAATTTTCATGGGGGCTGGAGATATGGTTCAGCAGTTAAGAGTGCTTGGAACTTGAGTCAACAGAACCCAAGTTTGGTTCTTAGCAACCACATTAGGCAACTCACAGTTCCTTTATCTCTGGCTCAAGGATATCTGATGCTCACTTTTGGCCTCCACAGGCACTTGTGCTCACATGCATGTACATACACATAATTAAAAATAAAATAGATCTTTAAAGAAATGTTTATGGAGGGCTGGGAATATAGCTTAGTGGTAGAGAACTTGCCTAGCATATGTGAGACCCTAGATTTAATGCCTAGCACCTCATCAAACAAAGAAGGTCATGAGATTTGTTGGTAGAGTGTTAGGAGTTTTTTAGTGACAGTTGGGAGCTTCAGAGCAAACAAGTCAAAACTGCGATGCTTTTTCTGACCTGCATCCTGAAACCATGTGAGTGCGTTCTAGCAGCATTCTTTATTTGCTGGAGAGTTGAAAATTACCTAAGTTCAAGGAGAGGGTGTATAGAACCTAGTATTTTTGTTTATTTTTGAGACAGGGTCTCAGGATGTAACTCTTGTCAGCCTGAAACTTACGATGATCTGCCTCTTGCCTCCTGAGTGTTAGAATTACAAGCGTGCACCAGCATGCCTCGCTGACTGCTTATCTTGATAGTAGGAGTATCATGATCACATAGAAGAGCAAGAGGGATGGGAAATATCTCCTGTCCAGTCTGGGCTTGTTGGCACACATCTTTAATCCCAGGACTTGGGCGGGAGGCAGGAGGATCTCTGTAAGTTCAAGGCCAGTCTCTTCTACACAGTGAGTTCCAGACCTGTTAGGCTATATAATGAGACCCTGTCTCAAAGACAAGAAAATGTATATGTATATACATATGTAGATTGTATACATGTGAACTATGCATATAAACATATATATAATAGACTACCCCAGAGTGTTGCTCAGTTATTGAAATTCTTTTCCATCTCTTTTTTTTTTTTTTTTTTTTTTTTGGTTTTTCAAGACAGGGTTTCTCTGTGGCTTTGGAGCCTGTCCTGGAACTAGCTCTGTAGACCAGGCTGGTCTCGAACTCACAGAGATCCATCTGCCTCTGCCTCCCGAGTGCTGGGATTAAAGGCGTGCGCCACCATCGCCCGGCTCTTTTCCATCTCTTAATCCTTGCTTTGGTGTCTGAGGATCTTATTAGTCAGAACTATGATCTTACTCCTGCTTAGCTCTTAGTATGTTGATTTTCTGGAGCAGACAGAAATTACAAATTCACACAACGAAGCTGAACCTTTGTTGTAAAAACTGTGTATAGGAAGAATATTACCGTGACATAGGCTTATGTCATTAATTGTCTGAAACGCTAGGAAACTGGGGTGAAGTGATTGCCTTTTATTTAGCAGAGTGCCAGTTTACTTCTTGGGGGGGGGGGGAGGTGAACCAGTGGTGTCTTATTGCCGATGAGCATGGTGTTTTGTTTTTGCAGATATGCAATATGATGAGGATGATGATGAAATCACTCCAGATTTGTGGCAAGAAGCATGCTGGATTGTGATCAGGTAACTTTAGACCAAACTGAACAGGTAGATACTGTAAGTAAGATGTGAGGGATGTCCTGTAACTTTGTTCCTTATAGGTAGATCTTGGCCTTCTCTATGCTTGCTTATGTACTTAATGTGTGTTAGTTACTGCAGCAATTGCTTTATGCAGACAGTACTGTGTGCAACTCTGGATGCTGTAGACTGGCCTGACTTTGAATTTGCAACTCTCCTCCTGAGTGCTACGAGTGTATGTCACTATACCTGGCCCCGTCCGTCTGTCCGTCCGTCCGTCCATCCATCCATCCATCCATCCATCCAAGAGAAAAGCTAAAAAATTAATTTATGTTCTTCATTGGAGCCTTTAAATACCTTATACTACCTCTTCCTTCCTTCCTTCCTTCCTTCCTTCCATTCTTTTTGTTTTTTTGAGACAAGGTTTCTCTGTGTAACAACCCCGACTATCCTGGAATTTGCTTTGTAGACCAGGCTGGCCTTAAACTCACAGAGACCCACCTGTCTCTGCTTCCTGAGTGCTGGGATTAAGATGTGGCCCACCACATCTGGCCTACATCGTTTTATTTCTCTCTGTGCATTTCCCTCTAAAAGCATTGGAAGGTAACTAGCAGATACTCTTTTACATAATCACAGTACAGAATTAATTCTGATACAATAATGTTACTATTACTTTTAGTTGATTTATTTTATGTAAGAGTACTTTATCTGTATGTGTGCCTTTATGTCAGGAGAGGGCATCAGATCCCACTGTAGATGGTTGTGAGCTACTATGTGGTTGCTGGGAAATGACCTTAGGCCCTCTGGAAGAGCAGCAGCCTGTGCTCTTAACCACTGAGCCATCTCTCCAGCACCCAATAATCTTATTTAGCCTATGGAGTCTTTCCACATTTTGCTTGTTATCTCACTTATTTTTGTAGCAAAGCATTTTTTTTTTTCTTTCATCCTGGATCTAGGACTATTATGTTTTGAGACAGGGTCTCATTGTGTAGGGTAGCCTGACCTGGAATTTGCTGCCTCAGTTCTGAGCGTTGCACATTTTGTTGTTGTTTGTTTTTAGTTCTTTTTTTTTTTTAATTTTTGGTTTCTCTATGTAGCTCTCACTGTACTGGAACTCACTCTGTAGACCAGGCTGGCCTTGAATTCACATAGACTCACCTGCATTTGCCTTCTGAGTGCTGGGATTAAAGGTGTGTACCATCACACCTGGTTTGGTTTTAGATTTTCAGTTTTATTTTTTGTGTTTATATGCCTGTGTGAGTTTCTGTGCACCATGTATGCAGCTGCTCATGGAGGCCAAAAGAGGGCATGAGATTCCCTGGAACTGTAGTAAGAGATGATTGTGAGCCACCGTAGGGGTGTTGAACTTGGCTCCTATGGAAGAGCCGCCTATTCTTTACCAGGGAGCTGTGTTTCTTGCACCAGAACTATGGACTCTGAACTGCTGGACCATCTCTTCAGCCCTAAACATTTTGTTTCAAGGCTTATTTATCTGCCTCCTTCAATCTGAAACAGTTTCTCGGCATGTCTTTTCTTAAAATAAGAGCTCAGGTCCGTTACTCTGTGTAGCACTTGTGGGATGTGGTTGTGCTGGATGGGTTCTTTGGTCCGTTACTCTGTGTAGTACTTGTGGGATGTAGCTGTGCTGGATGGGTTCTTTGGTCCGTTACTCTGTGTAGTACTTGTGGGATGTAGCTGTGCTGGATGGGTTCTTTGGCAGGCGCACTATAGTATGTGCATTTCTAAGTGTGACTGAGCTCAAGTAGCCATAGTAAGAACGTCCATGCAAAAGCAAGTAGGTGATAAAGTAAGAACTTGTCATGTTAGGAAGCTACACACTTACCAGTGTGATCACCACACTGGTAGTCACACCGTGTGTAACATAGCAGTAGGAAATGCTGTAGAGTTTGAAGTTGTTTGCAGATTGAAGCTGCTTTATAGTTCTTTTGTTGTACTTTAGTTATTTTGTCCATATTTTTCCCGTACAAAACATAGTAAGTTTACAAATAAAATACCCCGGCCTTATGCAATGAGGGTCATAGATTGGTTGGCATTTCATTGAATATTTGTTGAATTGGAGTAAATGAAGTTAGGAAAATATGTGGATTAAATGAAGATGGAGAAATATGCTAGAAAACAAATTGAGTTGCAACTGATTATGAACTTAATATTTTTCTAGTTCTTATTTTGATGAAAAAGGCTTGGTTAGACAACAGCTGGATTCCTTTGATGAGTTTATTCAGATGTCCGTTCAAAGAATTGTGGAAGATGCGCCGCCGATTGACCTACAGGCTGAAGCTCAGCACGCCAGTGGAGAAGTTGAAGAGCCGGTAAGACAGTTGTGTTCATGTTGTGGGTGAAGGAAAGTATTGACCTGGGTCTCAGTCCACTACCAGTCCTCTCTCTCAGTAGTGTTTGCAGTGTGTGTACAGCACCTCCCCTTAATCTCCCTTCAGATAGTATGTGTCTTTTGGTATTAGGATGGACCGTCAGGCCTTGTGCAACTAGGTAAAGACTCTACCCTGAGCTTTATTTCCTTCCTTTTTAGTTGTTATTTCTTAGCAAGGTCTTGGTAAGTTGCTCATGCTAGCCTTGAGTGGGTGGGCTCTGTTGCCAGCCTGACCTTGAAC